TTAATAGCAAGTTAACTGAGCATCTGCAACCGTAGTTACACATGTATGAATATCTATATCTGTAATAGACTTCAGCAGGTGATTTTGGTAAACTAACACAATACAACTAGACAAAGGCATCAGCTAACACAACATTAAAATTGACCATAGTAAAAGTAAAAACATTAAAAGAAAGTACCATAGTTAAAACGTAATATTGAGTATATAAACACAAACCAAAGGCCTACTTGTGAAAGGTTATACCATTTCTTTGGGAATTGAAATCTCGGCGGTTTCACAACCAGAATCTGCGCAATGTTGTGGCATTATTAATTCTTACTGTGAGTGATGACACACTGACCGTTCCAAGATGGCGGGTGCACCGACATGTCTGGAGCCGTCGAATGTGTCTTCTACTTATATCTATGATTTATAGCATCTATCAGCAGGCCATGCTAACCATAGAGATGTACAGTAGGCTATATGTAGAATAGCACATTTGACCGCTCCAGACACGTCGGGCGCACACGCCATCGTGGAACGGTCAGTGTTTTGTGAGAAATGTATTCATGTAATTTGGAAAATATAGTCATCGAATGTATTTTGTGCCAAAGCAGTGATAAATGATCCACAGTTTAGCCCACATATCCTGCTGTTGTGATTACTGTGTAAAGAGTTTTGAAAAAGCGATTGTAATAAAACACTGTTCCATATTGCAACTTATTTATCGTGTGTTGCATATTTGTTTGTTTTTAGTTGTCTATGGACCTAATAAAGTTACTATTATTGAAAAAAAGTATTTTTTATAATAATTCATTCTTTTTTTGCTGTGGTTATTTTGGAAAACTGTATTAACCAAAAATGAAAAAAAATGTCTCTTCGGCCAAAAAAGTTTCCCGACCCCTGGACTCATCTCGCGCACCAAACACATACCCTGGTGCACACGCAAACTGTATGCGCAGGCTTACGCATAAAAAGCAAAAGTATACTTTGGGCTTCATGCACTCTACGCATACCCTACTGTACTTGTAAACACAAAAGTATACTTTGAGCTTCATGAGCGCTGTGTGTGCATTGTACAGGTACCCTGGTATATGCGTACAAATTCAAGTATACATTGCGCTTTGTATGCCATGTATGCATACCCAAAGTATACTTTGGGACTCGCGCGCACTGTATGCAAACCCTAGTGTACACATAAAAACCAAAAGTGTATTATCTTCGCATCATGTGCACTCTATGCATACTCTTTTGTACATGTAAAAAATATAAAAATGTGCTTCGATCACTGTACGCATATCCTAGTGTACGCGTAAATAACTAAGTTTACTTTGGGCGTGATGCAAACTGTAGCCTACACATGCCTAGTGTATGTGTAAAATTTGAAGAAGGAATTCATGCACATAGTACATGCAAAAAATCTATGTACTGTAGTAGAGGCTATACTCTGGGCTTCATGCGCACTGTATGCAAAAAAGAATTATGTGCATGAATAAATAATTTATAATAAATACTGCAATTGTAAACGGTGGCTTGCGACGCCAAGCGTGATGTACGCCAGCGACACCAGTTGTAAAACACTTTATTGCATTGTGTAGCTTTGTGGAACTAGACACGGGACAGCAGGTGGCAGTTTTGCTGGATCTTTTATTCCCTGACACAAAACACAAATAAGAAGCCTCTTTAGAGTGAATCGCCCTTGTTTTCTCTCCCATGCAGAAAAGGAGAAAAAAGGAGCATGAAACAAATTAAGTAATGGGAATCACATTAAACAAGAATAAAACAGAAAACATACCTGATAACACAAATAAGCAGCCTCTCTGAGTGAATTGCCCATAAAGGTGCAATGTGTAATATTTCTGAGGATCTATTGACAGAAATGCAATATAAGATCCATAACTACCTGTTCAGTGGTGTATAAAGACCTTACTCAATGAACCGTAATGTTTTTATTACCTTAGAATGAGACATTTATCTCTACATAACTGCGGGCACCCCCTTCTATGAAGGTCGACATATTGTGACGTCATGTTTCTACCGTAGCTGACAGCGAACAAACAGCGTTACAGAGCGCGTTTCGTTCATACCTTGAAAGAGAAGCCGCAGAAAGCTAGAAGCTAGCCATAGACACCGTGAGTAGTGACTTTTCCCTTGTCAGTGGTGTAAAATATGTAGATGGATTGTTTCATGTAACTTAGTTCTTCTCGCTGTGTTATGGCTTTGACAATCAGCTGATTAGTACTATTGACCGTAAAACAGTAACGTTACAGGAGTCACCAACCCGTCAATCGCGGTCGACAAGTCGATCTTGGAAACATTTTAAGTCGATCGCGAAGAGTTTTCAAAACCAGAGAAAAAAAACAATATTTTTATTCATTATTATTTATTCATTTGTGTGTAGTAAATGTTGTCTAGGGGATGCGGAGGCGCGCGCGCTGTTACAATCACGTCATTTTTGCCGCGCGCACCTTTGCGCTCATGCGGACACGTCGAGTATAAACAAAGCTTTAACCAGCTCAGCCACAGCCCTACAGCATAACAGCTCATATTAGCCAGCTAAACTTTTCCTACCCTGTTAGAAAAAATATGTAGTTGGATAGTTTCATGTGGTTCTTCTCCCTCGCTGCATTATGGGTTTGCTATGTGGGGAGAAATGTGCTGGTTACGTTCGTGAGACAATCAGCTGATTACTATTATTATATTATATATTAAGACCCTTGATACTCACCTGACTATGGCTTTGTAAACTTTATCCATGTGGTTTATAATGGACTGTGGTACAGAAACTTGGCTTACTCTGGTTATTCTCTGCTGTCTCAGACGACGATATGTTTGTCCCATTTTAGCAACCGTAGCTTCTTTGAAAGGGAGGGGTGAGCAGTGGGCTGAGCCATTAGTGCAACTTGCAACCGAACCGCTAGATGCCGCTAAAATCTACACACTGCACCTTTAAATAGGATTATCAGGACGTCAAAAGAAACCTCCCTGTCCCATTCAGTTACAATGCAAAAGGGAAGAGGAGCCAATAGTATCCAGCTGCAGACCCGCAGCACCACCAGTTTCAGAACCCCAGCGCCAGAACCGGAAGTAAGGGGCGGAGCTTACGTTCTAACACCAGCGCCAGGACCGGAAGTGAGGGGCGGAGCTTACGTTCTAAACCGAGTAACGCCACCTAACGTTTTGGAGCGTAATTTGCTTAGACACGAAACGGCATTATTACACACGAAACGTCATACTTTATGCGTATTATAATGATACATTAAGGTATAGTACAATAAGCATTTTAAAACATTGATTTTGTGTAATATAATTCTATATAGTTATCCGTTTCATTGTATTATGAGAGTTACTTCCTGATCATGATGGTGAAAAATAATGCTTGAAACTTATGGTCATTTTATATAAAATATACTTTATTTCACAAGAACATGTGCAGCATGCATTTTTTCTTTATGTAAAATAATGTTAAAAATCTAAAAAGAGAGAGAAAATCCGGCATTGTTTTAAAAGAAACCATAAAAATGTACCATACTTCAAATAATAGCCGAGTCCCAAATAGACGATTGTCTCTTTACACGCCTGGTGTGGCTGCAGGTCTGGGTAAATATAAGTCCGGTCTCAAATAGAGGTCGGGTCTGTATTTTAGTTTCAGGTTGTATTAAATCTTCTAAAACCCGTCAGATCGTCCGCTTTTTGGCGGCCGCCAAAGCAAATTTTTGTCCCGCCAAAGCCTATTTTGATCGGTGAGTGATGTAGAACAGAATGACTGCTGCGCATGACAGGGCGCTTAACGAGCAGAGAGAGAGAGAGAGCCCTGGCCGCGCGCGCGCACTCTCACGTCTTCAAACAACACGAGCGCTGTCTTGCTCTTTATTTGTCACTCACATACCAGTTATAGTTCATACAACGAGCAGTGACTCACTGTGTAATAAAAACATACCCTAAATATTATTTAAAAGGTGCGACAATTTTAAATATTTTTAAATACTTGCAACCATGCTTGTGTCATTGTAAATAATTCCGCCCCTCCCTCACTTCCGGTTCTGGCGCTGGGGTTCTGGCACTGGGGTTCTGAAACTGGTGGTGCTGCGGGTCTGCAGCTGGATATATCTCAAGAGGAGGGGAAATTATGTTGGTTTGTGACATCACAACATTTAAAGGGAAAGCCCCCATTTCCATGTATGCACCTCTGCAGGACAGTATAGCAGTTACCAGATCAGTGGGCGAGGCCATAAACAGAGGGGCGTTTTCGACCGTCTTACCTGATTTGCCCACTCACAGTGAGGGTAGGGTTTAGGGGTGGGGTCTGGTGAAGGGCATCATTTTCACTGAATGATTTATAAACACCAACCAATTTGAAAACACCCACAAATTTAAAAACGCCCACTTTTGTTTTGCAGAGTCAGAGACCACATACTCCTAATTTCGATCAGGCAGCCACATCAGGCACACACATAGTAGGCTATATATATATATATATATATATATATATATATATATATATATATATATATATATATATATATATATATTTTTTTTTTTACAAGTTTGTGAATATTTTGAATAAAAAAGGAAAAACAAAATAAACACGATATACATACCTCTCATGTGGCTGCATGAGGCGTCACCAAGGAAATAGTTCTTAAATTCTAAAATAGGCGTACGTTCTGAAATAAAGGTCGCCTTAAAAAAAATTAAGAGCCCCTATATAGAATAAACAATTTTAATTCCTATACAATTCCCTGTTACACAATATTCCATAAAAAAAGATTGGTCATTTTGATTCCATGGTGACTTTAAAAGAGGGGAGCACCCATCCAAACAAATCGTTGGATTTTATAAAAAAAAAAAAAATTAAATCAATTATACATAATTGAAGGCACTTTATGAAATCCAATGTGTATCTTATAGGCTACTCAAACCGAACTGGTTTAGTATGGTGTCTGACTGACAGCTGGAGAAGGTTTATAAATGCGACTGAAGCGCCGTTAATTCCTTTAGAGTCAGCGCTCAGTCTCGAGTTAGTTATACGCGAATGTCAATTCAGGAACTGCGCAATTGTCTCAAGTTTGGAAACCCAGCGAAATTTGTGCCTGTGTCACGCCCACAGTCCCGATAACACTGGAGCCGAGCTGGCGAATCGATCTGCAGCGTTCAAGCGAGGCCTCGCATGGGCGTCGTACACCGTGGTCGCGCCGCGCGCTCAGTGATGATGCAGGATATCTGTCGCCGGCTCAAGCTGAATCTGATCCCGTCGTACGTTCAATTTGATGTTTGACCACTTTGCATTTTGCCTCGGAGGAGAAAGAGATGGGATCAGGTGCTGTGGATTCTTCCCAGTGGCTGTCAGTGAAGGAAGAGACTATTTTCCTTCACGATGGACTAATTCGGGTCACGGACCTGGCAGAGCTGCCCAGTGAAATCGGAGTGTCTGAACAAGGGGAATCCGAGCAGGAGGTGTGCATTTATCATATTTGTTTATTTCAGAGGAACCTCTATATTGTTAGATGTGAACTTGATTAGCTTAACACTAAAGTTAACTAACTCGGTTGGATAATGTTCGGCCAAAACAGGCTTGTCAGGTAGCAGCATGCTAATAATAAGAGGTTGTTGTTGTATTTCTTCAAGTAAATGAAGCACGTAATTGTTTTAACACGTGTTCAATTATTTATCGTGTCATTCTGTTGATGTTAGTTCGTGTAAACATGCGCGGGCTGTTGTCAAGCCCGTTATGAGTGAAGAATCATATATTATTGCTAAACATAGATGTTAGCGGCCAAACGGTTTACGTTGATGTTAATGAAGCTTATTAACCCTGCCTTGAGGTTGTTATTTCACATTTCTGTGCCGTATATAATGACAGTTACACAGTTCTTGCTTGTCTCTGATGTTTGACGCGTTAGCATAGCTTCGACAGGCTAGTAGGAGGAGTTGAATCTCTCACTGGCGTGTGGCAGGCAGCTATTGACCTGTCCGTAGGATTCATGTTACAATCGGTTACAATTCTAACACAGGACGTCAAAAATACTTGTTAAATACAACCTATAGTTATAATAGTAACATCTAGCTCTACGACAGGGGTTTCCCCCAAACATGTAATGTTGCTCACTGTTATAGTAACACAAATGTTGTCCTAACCAATGTCATTTCATCCATAAGTAATGTATTAAAGTAATAACATAAAAATACGAATAGCCGTGTTAAAATGCGATTATTGTCGTATAGTCACGGCTAAAGGGCGTTGTTTGCAATTCGCATACCCTAAGTAGTATCCCAGATTAGAATTAGTGTGTCCTAAATAGTAGTCTGAAACGAAAGATGCCAGAATGGTTTGCTTATTGGGGATTTGTGTGGGCAAAGATTATTATATTAAAGGAAACCTCTGCGTCTGTATCATATTTTGTGTATCATATCATATGTGTATCATATATGTATCATATATCGGAGGTGCGATTGTAATTTGAGTCACTAGTAGTGTCTCAAATGACGCACTGTACACTATGCACTTATACTCACACTATGCACTGTACCGCAGGGGTTTTAAATCTTTTAGATGCCTCGGACCCCCAAATATGATCATCCTCATGTAAGGAACCCATAATAATAATTTATAAGGCAGCTATACAGTTTACCGGAAAAAGACCCAATTTATACTTTGAAAAATTAAAATGATAAAAATATGTTTAAAATATAATTCGGAAAGTTACATTATTACGTTTTTCTGTATTTTTAGATGTATTGTTTATTCATTTATTTACTCATTTATTAACCTTTTTATTGTAATGAAATTGTTATTTATTTATCTTAATTGTATTATTTATACATTTTTACACACATTTTCTCAACTCGGAGAAAATGGTTGTAAAAATAAGTTACAGAATTTGACGTCATTGCAGTTTTATTCTGATTTATAACGACTGGTCTTTAAAGGGTTCGTTCACTCAAAAATGAAATTTGTGTCATTAATTGCTCGCCCTCATGTCGTTCAAAACCTGTAAGACCTTCGTTCATTTCCGGAACACAAATGAATATTTGATCATGAAATCCGTGAGCTTCCTGGCCCCCCATAGACTGCAATGTTATTACCACTTTCAAGGCACAGAAAGGTAGTAAAGACATTGTTAAAATTAGGGATGCACCAAAATGTAAATTTTGGCTGATATCAATAATTCTTTATATTCGAAAGCCGATAACCAATATATTGGCCGATAAATCTAAATATTTTGTTTTTTTATAATTTGAGAGCTTGATCACAAAAAACAAAAGTCTCACCATTAAAAGCCATGTCCGAAGCACACAATTATAATGTTCTCATTATAATTGTATGTAACCAATATGACAGACTTTGCATGTTGCACTAAACTGTATTTTCATTTTTTTGAAGTGATTACTATCATATTTCAAGCAATTCATAACCATCATGGGAAACAGCACGCATCTGAAGTGTCTCAGCCGAAGGAAATAATCCATTATTTATCTGCTTTAATATATCGGTCAAATTTTCTTATCGGTCTGATAACATTAAAAATTAAATTATATCGTCCGATACCGATATGGTGGCCGATAATGGATATTTTGTGCATTCCTAGTTAAAATAGTCTATGTAACTACAGTGGTTCAACCTTAAAGGGTTAGTTCATCCCAAAATGAAAAGTTTATCAAGCAACGAGAATACTTTTTGTGCGCAAAAAACAAACAAAAATAATGACTTTATTCAACTATTCATTTCCTTCTCTGTTGGCCTCGAGATTTCACGTAATGAAACTGCGCAATGCTTCAAGGTTGTACGTCACACGCAGGCTCACTATTGGCCGACGCTGGGCATGTGTGTGATGCGTGTGACGTACAACCTTGAAGCATTGCGCAGTTTCATTACGTGAAATCTCGAGGCCAACAGAGAAGGAAATGAATAGTTGAATAAAGTTGTTATTTTTGTTTGTTTTTTGCGCACAAAAAGTATTCTCGTTGCTTGATAAACTTAAGATTGAGCCACTGTAGTCACTTGGACTATTTTAACGATGTCTTTAATAACTTTTGGGCCGGCCAGTTTCGATCCCTTAAGAAGCCTATGGAGGAGTGATCCAGCTCTCAGATTTAATCAAAAATATCTTAATTTGTGTTCCGAAGATGAACGAAAGTCTTACAGGGTTGGAACAACATGAGGGTGAGTAATTACTGACAGAATTTTCATTTTGGGGTGAACTATCCCTTTAATGTTACGAAGGGATGAAATGTATCTCTTCCGTGTCAGTCGTCTTTGATTTTATGGCGGCTAGCACCAACGTAGAATAGAACGCAAACTGGGATGCACCTACTGTCAGGGTCCGTCCCAATACCACACTTGCTGTCATTGCACTTGACAACTTGTCTACTAATAACGTATTTGTTGTATTTGGCCCAAGTGTTCAAGTTGCGCACTGCGCTACTTTTGTAAACACGCTTTTTGTCGGGTATGTTTGACCATTGTCTCTTGCATCCTTTGCAGCATCTCTAAAAATTGGGCACTCAAGTTAAAAGACGTTACACTTTTGTAAACCGCACCTGTAGACCGATCGCTTTTTTTCATTCTGCTAACCTGTGTCATTACGTTTTTAACAGCAAAAAGCATTCTGTGTGAACTGGACCTTATACTGTTGTAAATGAAAGTACAGTAGAGGATAGTTTTCACAATTTAATTGACTTTCAATACTTTGCACATTAAAATAATAAAACTTGTAGATTGCTGTTCAGTAGTCCCCATGTAACAGACAGTGTAATTTAATTGTTGTCCTTCTAATTAAGTGATATACACCAATAAACACATCTGAATTCAAAATAACGAAAAATATATAATTTTTTTAGAACTTATTTATGGTATCACAATGTGAAACAAACTGTGTCTTTCTGCTCACTATTTATAGATGATATATTAGGCCTATATGACATTATATAGATCAGTGTTTCTGCAATGGGCCAAATGCCCTTCCACCATTATAACTCGGCAACTTATAAACATTTGTAATTTAGAAGGGGGATTTTCTTGCTTTTTACCCAGCTTAATTTTTTTGTGTTTGTTTGCCTTTTGTGGCACTGAATAGGAAGACTACAAAGCACTCCAATACAGGCCGTGGCCATCTGAGAAACATCTCCAGAATTCCTTTAGATCCATCTGCTTGTTTGTTGCCATCTTGCTGTTTCAGTGTTTGCCATACAATTGCCATTGTGCACTTCCAATCTGTTGTATGCCTTTATTTTGATCACATCCAGCTTGTTGAATGCCAATTTCAAACATTTTCAAAATGTCTGTCTGTTAGTTGATTCTACAAGTAAAATTCTACGGGTAGGGCAACACACAGGTAGCTATAGCGAATCTAATCAGCATACGGCCAAAAGGGGCATTGATGAGTTTGAAGTTTGATGTATGAAAACAATGCAAATTACAAGATTAGAATGGGTGATATAATGTGCAATTTCCCTATATGCAGCATTAACTTTTTCAAGATGTCAGAACACACACAAAGAAAACGTGTTACTGAAAAATGTCTTCACAATGTATCAAATGTTTTTAAAGGGCACATAACACACACAGTTTCTGCCAATCTCATGTTAATCTTGAGTACCTATAGAGTAGGATTGCATCCTTTATATCTCCAAAGAGTCTTTAGTTTTATCAGATTTTTAAAAGACAGATACGCTGTACCGATTCTTTTCGAAAACAGCCGAGCTCCTGGAGGCGTGCTGTGGGCGGAGCTAAAGAGGCACGCACAATACATCATCGCATAATCCCTGGATAACTTTTTATTCACTATACGTCCGTGTTATTTACATTATGCACTTACATGCTGATTGCCAACAAAACACAGACATTTGATGTTATTTACCGCCTGCAATTCCGACTCATGACCGGGATATTTTATCACTGGGACCGCTCCATCTTTCAGTTACAAACGATCTGCAAATCCAGCGTGGAACTGGGGCTTGTTTATAAAACATTTGGCACCGAAATGCCTGATAGAAACAAACACACTTGCACAACTCCATTGCTGCCCCAGAAAAACAAACTGCATCCACTGTTCCCCTAACGGTTGGTTCTTTGGGAAGCTGAACAAGGTTATCTTTCCCTCACAACCAGAAACACACTGTGGTGACATTGATGATCTCATGGTCTAAAGACAAAATGACAGGGCTGCCGACGACCTCCGTAACCCGAACTTGTTACACGTTGATGGGCGTTGCTCTTGCTCTCGCTCTGGTTGATGTGTGCACGTGCTCTTCCAGGAGAAGTGCCCATACATAGAATTCTGCCCTTTTATGACGTCAAAAACTTTCAGAAACTTATACTAATCCTGAAGGAGTGTATTTGGCATACTCCATCATACGTCCAACACATTTTTTGAAACTTTGGCCATGTTGAGCATAAGAATCCAAATCTTTAAAGCTGCAGTAGGGAGTTTTGAGAAAACGTTGACTTAGCCTGAAAATTTGAACAAGCACAACTTACAGGTCCCACCCCCTTGCTCTCTGCTGCGCTACAGCCCTCCCTCCCTCCCTCCCTCCCTCCCTCCCTCCACAGCTCGTCCTCCACAGCGGAGCCCGTCATGAACGCGCAGGCTAGTAAACAGGGCCACCGATAACAGCGGATAAAAAGTTTAAAAAGCACATTCACTAATAGGGACTAAACGTCAACAATATGCTTTACATTGACTATGGCCTGCCCATACTTTGACTTCAAACTTGGTCCTCAAATCATTATGTATTTTGCAATAGCCTACGTGTAACTTTATAACGTTGCACTCTTTCTATAAGTTATAAATAGCTAGTAAGATAACGTTAATATAACGGTAACTAACGTTACAGTATGTAAGTAATTATTCTAGCGATATATAATGCTAGATAAGGTGTGCTAGTACATTATTTCAGCAACATGACAAGCCAGTGAATTAGCAGGTGTCAATTGTTGCTTAGCAGAGTGCGTGACATTTTATCTACATGTTATGCGGCTAGAGTTTTGACACCGAGTCAATGGGCTCTGTGTAATTCTTTCTTTTTCGCTTGTTTATCGTCATCGGTCTTTTTCCTTTTACCTCTTTGTTTTATGAGCAGTTGTCACTCGAGAATTGGCAGTTTAGGTTGTTTCTCCATCATAAGCACAGCTGCAGCCAGCACGCCGGCAATCTTGAGTTTGAACGACGGCTCGCGATGTGCAAGAGAGGGGTGTGATCAGCGGTACACGAGCGTGATTGACCCTGCTAAGACATTCCTCCTGGCTCTGATTGGTTGTTTCTGACCGGGAGCGTGTATTTCTGCAAATGGCAATAGGACCACTGGGAGGAGCCAGAAAAGCTTGATTTTTTTTTCACAGATTATCTGTCTCATATTCTACTGTCAGGACATAATGACAGTTTTAACAAATATGTAAAAAATATTTTTTTCAAAAGTTACCTACAGCAGCTTTAACTGTGAAAATAAGTCAGAATGCATGAAATAGTATTAGACATCCCCTTTAATAAATTGGGAGAAGCATAAATCGTGATCACTATTAATTATGCAGCTCAGTTTTGTGGTGCACATCATTGAAAGATGTCAGATGTTTATCCAGTAACAGCATTTGACTCATTACTTTCAGTGATGTCCATCTTGAAATGAAGAACATGTTGTGTTCTAAAGGTTTTTGAAACTTAAGCTAGTGTCTTTACTAAATGATGGAACCACTAAGCGTCACATTTTACTACTTATACCTGTCAAACACACTGAGCAAATTTACTTTAGGATTTAGTGTAATATCTGGATTAATTGCGCATTTATATTGAATAATTATATAGTTGCCAGAAAGATTTTCAGTATGCCATGGAAGGCTATCCACAACCTAAAAATGAGCAGACTGTCTTATGGAGATGTTTCAGAATATAGATTTTAAATGGGCTAAATTTCTGTCATCATTTACTCACCCTCATTTTGTTCCAAACCTGCATGAATAGCTTTCTTCTGCTGAACACAAAAGAATAATAAATGGGGCCCATCAACTGTTTGGTAAACCATTTTCTTCAAAATATCTTCTTTTATGCTCAGCAGAAGAAATACATTCATACAGGTTTGGAACAACTAGGGTGAGTAAGTGATGACAGAATTTTTGGGTGAACTAACCCTTTAAGTTTTTCCCAAAAAAATGCACAAAAAAGTAAGATACAGTATTTGGGGTCCATTGTGTACCTGGGGTCCAATTATACAGCAGTGAAGCAAGTAACTCATTTTCATTTATCTTTGGCCAAAATAAGCTTCAACAACTATCAAATTCTTTGTCCTTGCAGATCTTGACGTTTGAGACGAAGAACCCAGTGGAGCTGGCCGAGCGCCTGCGAGCAGTCTGTGGAAACCAGAGCAACGCTTACGCAAGACTTTTGGAGTACCGTCTCAATGCATTGCGCGGTCTGTGGGGAGCACAGCGACAGCTGGCCCTAGAGGAGCAGCAGGAGCATGAAGGAGTCATCCCGGGGACCGGCGGAGGGGCCGACGAGGAGGCGCTGGCCCTGCTTAAGCGACAGGGCTTCTTGCAATCTCAACATCACCACCATCCTCACCACCCTCAAATGCCCACCGGCTCTGATCAGGCACCGTTTACCTCACGGGTCGGCCTCCTGTTGGTCTTTCCGCTACTGCAGTCACAAACACGGCACGACCCTGCACTCTGTGGTGTCACCGCCGAAGTCTTGCTCGCGTGTCTGCGTGACTGCCAGCCGCTGAGCCTAGGCAAGGAGCCTGCGGACTGCCTAAATGGCCTGGAGAGGTTGCTTTGCTCCTGGCTGGAGGAGAGGAATGAGCCAGAAGGTCTGGCACAGGCGAGGCTGCTACTTACCCAACAGCAGAGACAGAACGCAGCTGCTGCACTAGTGGCTCTGTCGTGTGCAAGGTGAGCGCAGCACAATGGCTGTACCTTTTTTAGTAGTTTGATAAGGTAAATGTAATTGACGAAGAGTCTTTGCTGGAAGTCTGGTCAAAAGATGGAGTGGATTAAAGGGTTAGTTCACCCAAATATGAAAATTCTGTCATCATTTACTAATACCGAACTCAAAAGAAGATATTTTGAAGAATTATGGTAACCAAACGGTTGTGGGGCAACATTGACTTCCGTAGGATGGGAAAAAAATACATTGGAAGTCAATGGTGCCCCACAACTGTTTGGTTATCATTTAAATGATAATTAAACAAAAATCTTTTATGTTCCACATAACAAAAAAAATCATACATGTTTGGAACGACATGAGGTGAGCAAATGATGACAGAATTTTAATTTTTGGTCGAACTATCCTTTTAAAGCTAAGGCAAGACACTATAGATAGGCACAATCAATGTTGTTTTTTTCATGCACCTTTTGGGCTATTTTGCTTCCATGACATATGTTATTTCAGACTAATGGAAATAAAACATTTAAGTGTTTGTTACACTCCTTCTTTTTGCGTCTGTGGATTTCAGTTACAATACATATCTTTAAAGGCTGAGATTGATTTTCTTTTTCTTTTTTTTTCTCATGCAATGCATCAGAAATCTCCACTTCAGCAGCACTTATCATACACCAAACATTACAGTTCTATTCCTATCTATGTTCTAAAGGTTTTATCAGTGGGGTTTGTTGGTGACATGGTGACTCTTTTTTTTTTTGTGGCTGTTGATGATATTTTCTGATTTATGGAGTGATAAAAAGAGATATCAAAAATACCCTCTGTAAAAATCTTAAACTCTAGTATGTGAACAAAATTAAACTATATCCAGTGTTCTCATTTCTGTTCTGGAAATATATGCACATGCATCATTTGCACATTGAAACTTTTGAATATGTCTGAACACTTGTAATAAAAAACAATTGTCTTTATGTACTGTGATTAATCAACTGGGCACATTATGGTGATTTACGTTAGTTACATTTTTTTGTCTCTCAGCACAATTGCCCCAATTGCTAAGTATGGTTCTCTGGCCCTGTCTCCGAATCAGTCACGAGTTGTAAGCTGAGACACATTGCTCTTTACAATTCGTACTAAAGTGTCTTAGTGCATCTCCTTCGACCACTTTTCATCTGATATGTCTAGGGTAGAGTCTCTCTTGATTTCATCAGTACATACATCTCTGTCTGTCTGTCTGTCAAAAAAAAAAAAAAATGAACAAAAGAAACTCAAAACAATTTCTATTGTGTCTGCTTGCAGGGGCTCCCTCAAAACGTTCATTCATACTGTCCACCTGCTGCAGAAACAGACAGACTTGGGTCAACTTCCAGTGGCTGATGTTCTCTATAGGTGAGATGTGTCATACAATTAATATTTGAAGACAATTGTGTAAAAAAAAAAAAAAAAATTAAATGACTGATTTGATCTTATAATCTGTGTGGATTCATTTATTATACAACCTACATGCTAAAGTGAATAAATGTTTGCGGGAATTTACTGCATTATAAGCGCAAAATTAAAATGATGCCCAATACCCGTATCCCATGCTGAAATTCAAGCCCTGATACACACAGCATTAAACTACTTCTGTTAACTATCAAATAGGGACGCACCGATATGAACATTTTGGCCGATACCGATTACCGATAATTCTTTATATTTGAAAGCCGATGACCAAAATATTGGCCGATAAATCTAAATTAAAATTTGTATATGATTTTTGAGATCCTGATTACGAAAACAAACATCTCACCGTTAAAAGCCATGTCCCAAGCACACAGTTATAATGTTTTCAGTATAATTTTATGTAGCCTATATGACAGACTTGCACTGCACATTAGGGATGTCAATTTTCACAAATTCCCATGATCGATCGTCGTTTAAATTAACGATCAATTAATCGATTAATCGTTAGCCTTAATACTGCAATATGCGTCTGCTGCAGTGCATATGGCCAACAGCATGACAGCGTCTGCAAATGCTGCTCAAACCGCTATGTTCCTCACCAAATTAATGAGAATGGTTTTAATCTAAATAAAGGGCTAGTAGGATTGTAAAATGTTTCGATGTGATTGATAATTAAATTACAGGGCTCGAATTTCGGCGCGGTATTGCGCATAATTCTAATAATTCCCACAGGTCTCCCATTTATAATGCAGGAAATTCCCGCAATCGTAATCCACACAGATTATAAAATCAAATCATAAACAACTATCTTCCAGACGCAATTTCACAAACAGCGTGAGTGTTCAGCGGTGCCGCGTCTTCTATCTCTTCTCTCAAAATGTGTTGTGCAAGGCAAGCATCAAGCGCTGCGGCGATAATACACACTCGCGTTTAGGAGTCGGGACATGACGGAATATTCACTTGCACAATCGGGCCAGCAGTGCATCGTGACTGAAGTTTACCATTTGCACGTCTTTTTAAGTCTTACCAGTTTAAATATTCAAGCGATTTTAAACTAATCAGTGCTCGCACGCTCTCTGAGATTATTTTCTATGCGCACATTCATAGAGAATCCGCCTCAAAAACAGCTGGCCAGTAACAAAAGTTATTTTTCGCGGATTATATTGCTTTAACACGCAAAATTGTGTCAATTTCGGTCTTCGTGAGTATACTCTAAACATAGTCGGTTTTGTCTTTTAATAAGCATAAAACGCATGCCAGTATAATGAACACAGGATCCGTGCACTAGCTCATTAATTTAGTTGTCAAAACAACAAAATATAGCTTTAAGTTAAAGGAATCAGGATTAATAGCCTATATATATTTAATTTATTCAGGACTAAAATACTACCCAGTGTTATTTTCCATTTGATTACTTTATTCAGTTTCTGTAGGCCTATATGAAGTTAGACTCATTGAAAAACTTTTCTCTTTATTTGTCTTTATTTGTATCTTTATTCTATTGTATTTATTTGTGCTACTTTTTTCAATTTAATTAAACAATTTAAATCAAGCTTCCTTGTGTTGTGTAAACTCTTAACAACAATATTACCCCATTGTAAAAATGCAATGAGCGCAAACATTTAGGCAAGATAAATGTAATTTTTGTTTGGAAAAAATGCCCCCCGCCCTTCTCCTCCTCAAAAAAAAAATCCCCCCCGATTTCCCCCCCATTTTCCAAAACGAAATTCAGGCCCTGAATTAAATTAAATATTTAATAATCAAATATAACGACTAATACAACGTGTCACCAGCGCCGCCTCAGATGCGCTTGTCAGAATGTGTGACTTGTGGACGCGTGCTCTTCCTGGAACAACGCACTTAAAACGGCAACTAAACCCAATGAATTCACACCGATTTAATAAAATAGTGTTCTCATGTTATGTAATATGACAGTCCCTTAATCCTCGTTATTAGTCGTGCATTCTGCTTGAGCGGCGCGCGCTGAATGAATAACTTAACCGTTGAGCACTTTGCTAGCACGTTATTTAACTCAAAGAAACGCATCCTATGAGATTAATCAGATATATACAAAATAAACATAATATTACAAATTATATCTGCACAAAATGACGTGAATGCACAAGTGAACTTGAACTAAGTTACGTGCCATTCAGAATGACTCATGTTGTGGACGCGCTCTTCCTGGAACAACGCGACACGGCAACTAAACCCAAAGAATTCACAATGTTTTATTACAATATTGTTCTCTTTATAATGTTATATAATATGACAGTCCCAATAGTCGTTATTAGTCGTGCATTGCCATTTGAGCTGCGCGCGCTAAAGATCACGCTGCGTCAATTCTTAACCAAATGCATCCAATATGAGATAAATCAGATATAGATAGGCACACACAAAATAAACTATTACAACTTACATTTGCACAAAACAAAAGGCAGCGAATGCACACGCAAACTTATAGTCATGATGAAGGTGTAAAATAGTCCCAAACATAACTCCGGCGCGCTCGCTTACATGTTTCGCGGTTGAGCAGCACGCACGCGCATGAACCTGCTTAATCGATGATCGATAAGGTTTATCGATTAAACGTGTTATCGACAATTAATCGATCATCGATTAATCGTTGACATCCCTACTGCACATGTTGCATGTTAACCGTATTATCCTTTTTTGAAGGGATTCCAATCATATTTCAAGCAATTCAAAACCCTCATGGCAAACAGCGTGCATCTGAAGTGTCTCAGCTGAAGGAAATAATCCATTATTTATTGGCTTTAATATAAATTTCAAATTTTCTTATTAGGCCGATAACATTAAAAATGAACACATATCGGCCGATACCATTATGTTGGCGATATATTGTGCATCCCTACTCTCAAATTACATATTCAACTGCGGTGGGAATTATTATTCACCAATTAATGCATCAATTCAGCATATTAGGATAACTCTCTGAGACTTTTCACAAATGTAACCCGTATAGGATTAAAAGAGTTTTAAACTTTAATTCACTCAATTGCAGACTGCTGCTTCTTGAGGGAGGTCCAGGCTCACCCTCCTGTTTGCTAGGGGGGAAACACAGTGTGTCGTGGGGCTTCGAGGACATGTTGCCCACTCCAGAGAGCAGCGTCACTGGTCCAGAGAGTAAAGGTGTGTCTATGATGGCTGGCAAATGTTTCTACATGCATAAAGAAAGATTGTTGTAACAGCAAAGTTGAAAGCATACAATTCTGCTTGGGAATTAATATAATATTTTTTTTATTGGTCTGTCAACCTCAACACTTTGAACAAAATGACACAAAACACAACATTTAAGAGATTTCTTTTCAGTTTCAAAATGCTACATGCAGTATATCAGTACAACACGCTAATCCCTGCTCTTTTGCAACTCAGCGTTGCTGTCTTTTGCCTCTTCATAGTGACCTATGATTTCTTTGGTGTTGAAAATGCAAATGGAATCACAGAAATCCATTGCCAAAAATTGATTTTACTATATAACGCGGAACGTCTCGGAATTGTTTGGATGAATAAATCAAAAGTAGAGTTGTATACTTCGGGTGCTTTTACACTGGGCACGTTTGCTGCAGTCCGAGCGCGATTGTTCCCAGCGCTCCCCGCAGCGCTGGTCTGGTTTCACACTCAACCTGATTCTCTCAAACCCAGGTGAATTTGCGCATCTTACATCATCACGAACGGGCATGCCGCATGATAGAAAACAGGTCAATATATATATATTTTTTTATTAATTTGGTGCTATTATGCGCAGCAGAGTAAACAACACTTGGGTTTACTGTGTGTGTTTTGCATGAAGGTGGATTTCTGCTGCTTGCAAACGGATTCTTTGTAAAAAAGAGGAGACCACGGATTGCCATCCATTTGCTACCCTGATTACACTCGCTATGTTGTCCGTGTTGCTTTGTGAAAATTTTTTAATTTTCATGCGAACTGTGCCACATTTCAAACTAAATTACCAGTGTGAAAGCACCCTTAATCAAATGGTGACATTACTGTCTGTGAATATTAAAGTCTGCTATTGAAATCTGAAGTCCGCTTGTCCCAGTTTGGCCTACTACACAAAATCAAGCACGTGTGACTCTCATGGTGTCTTCAGCGTCTGCTGTCTCACTATATGAGGACATGAACACATGATCTTCATGTGTCACCTTAGCATTTTACCATTCCATTTGAGAACTATCGTCAGATAAACACAGATACTCTATAGTCTTCACTACAACCCGTTGTTTAACTTAAAAAATAAATATGGCAAAAATATATAGTAGAATTTGCTTCTCTAATCAATAATAATAATAAAAATACACTTTATTAAAACATAACTTTTTTCAAAGAATATCACACAATGTTTTTTTTTCTACATTTTACTTTCAAAAGTAAATCTCAATTTGTGCAGCACTTTGTTTGACCAAAAATTCAAGGAATTGTTTAAATTAAAATTTTAAGTTTAAATCAAAATGTAAAGTTATATCGATTTGATTACCACCTTTTTTCATAGGGCATTTGAAAATTATGAAATTGTTAAAGTTTTATTAATTAAACTGATTAGACATCCTTTGTAATTATTAAAATTCGATCAAAGTATTAAAATGGAATCCGTAAATATTTAAATGGAAAACACAGAATTTAGGAAACTATCGAATTGAATTTGTGAAAAATTCAAACGAATTTCATCAGGCCCTAAAACATCTTTTTCTCTCAGACACAGACCTGGGACGCAGCCTGGCTACAGATGGTTTCTATCTCTACACAACAAACTCTTTTGGAAAGGGCTTAAGCAAGCTGGGCTCAGGGCAGCATGGGACGCTGAGGTAACTCTAAAACTACATAACTAGCACTTAACAACCTAGCCTGCTTTTCTGTTTGTACCAGTAACCTCCAGGCTACTATTGTGCTCTTTCTACAGCTCTTGCTTTGTCCTGCTGTCTTTCTCATTTCTGCTCTGTGAGCAACTACATTTGTTGGACTTTTGAAATGTTGCTGTGTCAATGACCTTTGTTTCATTCCTCTCATAAATGTCAACTACTTGCACTTCCTCAGTCTCATGAAGAAACGTCTTGGACACGTCAACCAAAATGTAAAAAATAAGAAATCCCATTTTGCATAAAGAATTTTTTACATAATGGCGGAAACTGGGGATGTTTTTAATTGTAACGCCAGTTTAACCACTTCTTTTATTTGCAGGGTTAAAATCACTATCATACATGAACACCATCCTTCTGAACTCACAGTGGAAGTTGTTAGTTTCTGTGTAAAGATATAGTTTATTAGGATTTTTAGAGGATAAAAACTATTCTAATGTATCTGAATTCTAATTTGATTTGCGATCAGATTAATTCATGATGAATGGCAACTTGTGTATCATCTGAAACAACAGATTCTCTTGTTTAATTTGATATATTATAAGTTGTATAAGTTAAGTAATTAGAAGCTTAATGGTGTCTAAAGCCGCGGTCACGCTAGACTTAAGGCTGATTTATACTTCTGCGTCGGACCTACGCCGTAACCCGGGTTCTAGCAGACCAATCACGGCGCTTGCGGTTCGCTTAGAATTGAAACGTTGTTACATTTTTGGAGAGTTGCACGTCAGGGTGAGGGTTTCGCCGAATGGTACGTGTCCATTTAAAAGCATATATTTCAGCTGTGGTGAAAATCAAGTTTTTAATGTTGTTGATATGTCTATGTGGTGTGTAATATTGATCAGGTATTCTGGCGCATCATTTATAACCATTGCGTACGCACATAACAGGCCCTGAAAGAGCCGTACGCCACTTCCGACGTATAAGTTGAGATTTCTCAAAAACAAATTGTGCACCTGCACGCAAACTCTGACCCAGACGTACGAACGTTTTGGAGACGGAGCAGTTTGGCGACACCGATGGTGAGCTGGAGTTAAATGGCTTTTTGGTAACTTTTAGACAGAAAATTACACATACAGCAAGATAATACAAATATAATTTCACTCTAGCCTATCACTTGAAGCAAACATCCATCCCCTCTTAAAGGGCCGTTTAGTGAAGCTGACTGCACTGCCGTAGCATATATACCGAGCTGTACCATTGCAGTGGAAAAGCGCCATAACGGCAGATGAAGGAAAAACAGTAAATCTTCAGTCCTAATTCATGTTTCAGTCCTAATCACAAATATAGTGCATGTCCACAATAACAGTTTAAATAAATAAAGAATGATTTAAACTGTTTTACATCTGATATACACATTTAGATTAAATATGTCATTCTTATTAATGGAGTTAAGCACTTAAATTACATGAAATCATTACTGAGAAGTTACAAAAAAAATTATATTCTAATAAATAGAAATATTTATTGTGGATGCAATGCTTTTGAACACTTTTCCTGTGGCATGCTGTGTTTTAATGTTTTAACTACAGCAAGGATTGCTTAGCGCATGATAATAGCAGATTTTCTGAGAAAATATTTTCTCGCAATTAATGATTGAGAAAAACTTTCTCTGAAATGTATTTTATACTATTTGATTTATTTAGCCAAAAACAAGGCAAGGATAGGCTACTAAATGATTTTTAGCAATTTAATGTGATGGCACATCCGTATCTCATATTTTCCTGATGTCTTGTACCGTTAAACATGGTATCATGTGGATGAATATGCATATGCAAATGATATGCAGATGAGGATATGCATTGTAAAACTAGGCGTTGTAAGCTCCATAATGGTTATTTTGGGGTGGAGACGCATGTGCGCACAATCTTACGCTGACTGGGATTTATGAAGGGAATTTGCACAGGTTATGGCGTACACATGGTTTTATAAGTCTGAATATTTTTTGCCGTTACACGCCATTTTTTGCTTTCAGGCGCATGTACACTTTTAGTAAGGATCTTACGCACAGTTTTATAAATGAGACCCCTGAGCTGGTGTGATTGAGTGGAGGCATATTTGCATATTCATGGCTCCGTGTTTACTAATTGAAACAAGGGTGTAGAGTTACATTCAAGACTTTAAAAGCTAAAACTTTTTTTTGGCCTTCCTCACAGGGGTTTTGTTTATTGTCGGAATGAGGAAATGGAAGCAGGGTGGGTGGCGCACAGTAGTGGCTTTTTGCTCCACCGTCCTGCCTCTTTTGACACAAAACCTCATCAGCTGTGCCAGGTCATCGACCCCTTCACACTGCAGGTACGACCTCTCCATCGCAAATGATCATCCTTCACATTGCACTTTCAAATTTACATCGGAAGTATTACAAGCAGGGCCTAAAACATTTTTTTTTTGTTTTGTCACACCTGCCAATGGCTGAAATTTACCAGCCAAAAAATATAATTTTACCAGCCATGACACAAAAAGCAGGTAGTTATGGTGCAAAAGTTTAGATGCCAGTGAAAATTCACATTCCTCTATTTCGATTTGATACCACAGCTAAAACTACTAGCTTAACTAATATAAATTGAATAGCCTAGACAAGTAGAGGTGTTAGTGAGGCCAGCAGGGGGTGCTCACCCTGTGGTCTGTGTGGGTCCTAACGCCCCAGTATAGTAATGGGGACACTATACTGTGAATTGAGCACCGTCCTTCGGATGAGACATTAAACCGAGGTCCTGACTCTCTGTGGTCACAAAAAATCCCACTCACATGCTCTCCTTTCTCTGTTCTGTGTAACTCTCCTGTTCGAACTCGTTCATCAAAATGAACAAATCTTTTTCCGAGTCAATTCGTTCATTTCGGTCGTTAAATGAATCAAATGACTCGAAAAAAGATTTGTTCATTTTGATGAACGAGTTCGAACAGGAGAGTCACACAGAACAGAGAAAGGCGAGCATGTGAGCTTATAAAACTTAAACGTTGTTATTTATTTTTAAAATGAGCGATCGTTTCGCATGATAAGACCCTTATTCATCGTCTGGTGTCGTTTAAAGACATTTTAAGCTGCATCTGAAACTGTTATTAACTGTATTTTGGACCTTGGACCGTACGGTTCCCATTTAAGTCCATTATATGGAGAAAAATCCTGGAATGTTTTCATCAAAAACCGTAATTTCTTTTCGACTGAGGAAAGAAAGACATAGGCGTCTTGGATGACATGGGGGTGAGTAAATTATCAGCAAAAGTTTTTTCAAAAGTGAACTACTCCTTTAATACTGATGATTTTGGCATACAGCTCATGAAAACCCAAAATTCCTGTCTCAAAAAATTAGCATATTTCATCCGACCAATAAAAGAAGTGTTTTTAATACAAAAAAAAAAGTCAACCTTCAAATAATTGTTCAGTTATGCACTCAATAGTCAATACTTGGTCGGGAATCCTTTTGCAGAAATGACTGCTTCAATGCGGCGTGGCATGGAGGCAATCGGCCTGTGGCACTGCTGAGGTGTTATGGAGGCCCAGGATGCTTCGATAGCGGCCTTAAGCTCATCCAGAGTGTTGGGTCTTGCGTCTCTCAACTTTCTCTTCACAATATCCCACAGATTCTCTATGGGGTTCAGGTCAGGAGAGTTGGCAGGCCAATTGAGCACAGTAATACCATGGTCAGTAAACCATTTACCAGTGGTTTTGGCACTGTGAGCAGGTGCCAGGTCGTGCTGAAAAATGAAATCTTCATCTCCATAAAGCTTTTCAGCAGATGGAAGCATGAAGTGCTCCAAAATCTCCTGATAGCTAGCTGCATTGACCCTGCCCTTGATAAAACACAGTGCACCAACACCAGCAGCTGACATGGCACCCCAGACCATCACTGACTGTGGGTACTTGACACTGGACTTCAGGCATTTTGGCATTTCCTTCTCCCCAGTCTTCCTCCAGACTCTGGCACCTTGATTTCCGAATGACATGCAAAACTGAGCAACAGTCCAGTGCTGCTTCTCTGTAGCCCAGGTCAGGCGCTTCTGCCACTGTTTCTGGTTCAAAAGTGGCTTGACCTGGGGAATGCGGCACCTGTAGCCCATTTCCTGCACACGCCTGTGCACGGTGGCTCTGGATGTTTCTACTCCAGACTCAGTCCACTGCTTCCGCAGGTCCCCCAAGGTCTGGAATCGGCCCTTCTCCACAATCTTCCTCAGGGTCCGGTCACCTCTTCTCGTTGTGCAGCGTTTTTTGCCACACTTTTTCCTTCCCACAGACTTCCCACTGAGGTGCCTTGATACAGCACTCTGGGAACAGCCTATTTGTTCAGAAATTTCTTTCTGTCTTACCCTCTTGCTTAAGGGTGTCAATGATGGCCTTCTGGACAGCAGTCAGGGCGGCAGTCTTACTCATGATTGCGGTTTTGAGTAATTAGTTAATTAGTTGATTCAGATGATTAGGTTAATAGCTCGTTTAGAGACCCTTTTCATGATATGCTAATTTTTTGAGACAGGAATTTTGGGTTTTCATGAGCTGTATGCCAAAACATCAGTATTAAAACAATAAAAGACCTGAAATATTTCAGTTGGTGTGCAATGAATCTAAAATATATGAAAGTTTAATTTTTATCATTACATTATGGAAAATAATTAACTTTATCACAATATGCTAATTTTTTGAGAAGGACCTGTATATATACCAATTGGCTTCATCACTCGGTCTCCTCTCCACCAGTAAGCTGTTGTGTGGTGTGCGTTCTGGCGCAATATGGCTGCCGTCGCATCATCCAGGTGGATGCTGCACATTGGTGGTGGTTGAGGAGATCCCCCCTTCTATGTGAAGCGCTTTGAGTGTCCAGAAAAGCGCTATATAAATGTGATGAATTATAGTCTGCATGTCCTTTTTTTAAAGTTCAAGAGCAGTGATGTTTTTTTCTTTGTCCTTTGTTGTTCACTTTCAAACAAATTCCCTTTCGCGTGTTCCAGCGCTTGAATATTTTTTGGAAAAGCTGAAACTTTCGTGATCAAGCACTGACCCGTCAACTGTACAGAGCGTTGTTAACATTTGTTCACGTTCATGTTGTCACAACATTGCATTGTTAGAATTAAACAAATTGTTACTGGCGACTGACACCGTTTCATAGACTCGCCAACACCGATTTTTACTCGCATTTGGCACTTGGCAAGTGTTCATTTTAGGCCCTGGTTACAAGTATTACAAGTATGAGTGCTTTGAGTATGTATTCTGATATTTCTAATCAGAATTGTTAGTAGGCGTCTAATTTCTATGTATGTTGTAAAATGAAAGTTGTATCAGCTGTGGACATTATTGTCATATTACTGATGCAATATGAATTTTGGAATATGACTCCTCTTGATTTTTCATCATTTATTGCAAAAGAAAATGCTGAATGTCAACTGTAAGTTAGACTTTCACAACATACGTCAATTCGTTATTATAGCTAATGCCTGACAATTTCATTGGTGTATATATCAACAAAACATTTTGACTAATTATTTTGCCTTTTGTTTGGAGGCTTGTTATGACTTAGACAGGCAGTTTTGGAGTTCCAAATGGTGGAAATTCGGCTCACATCCCCTATGTGTACCACGTTTTGTAACATTTAGTTGTCAATTATTCCCAAAAAATGTCAATGCATGTCAATATTATTATCTTTTAAAAAATCTATAATTATATTTATATATGACATGTTTTGGTTCCCTAATTGAATCATATCAAATGTGTAATATTTTCAATAAATCTATGATAAGTTCTTGTATATAGATGTTATTCGATCTGCGTCATCAATGTTTGTGGCGGCCATATTGTTGACATAGAAACCACGGCAACTGTCAGTCTGTCAATTGACAAGCGAGGCAGCGTTGGAATTATCCATGGTATTATCACTGTATTTTTTTTAAAACAGCGTGATGGTGTGTTGTGTAATACACTGCTGTTCTAACAACAGCAATAAGAACCCCGGAGTTAGTTTTTATGATTGCGATAAGTTACCGACTGTCAGAAAACGTGAAGGGAAGGAGACCGAGTTGAGCCAGCGCAGGAGAGGCTAGCTAGGATAAATAGGCTAAACGTTCAGCCAACTCCCCACAGAAAAGTCTGTTCCCATCATTTTACCACAGGTTTCACACATAATCCGTGTGCAATGCGTGTGCAGTATACGGTACAGAAGCAGGACGCGCTATAGTGCTTTATATGCTGCGTTTGCAGTGCGGAACTGATCCGCGGCTGTACCACAAACACCGGTACTCACTATTTTTATTTTAACACATAGCTGCTACTCACTATTTCAACAACGTAAGCCGATTATTCCATGCATTACTTCTATATATTAAGTTGCTCAAGCAAGTGGTCAAATATGTAACCATGTACTTATATTAAAATCGCAAACATTTTAAATGAAAACTTAAAATTGACAAAAACAACCGACTCTCATGCCTTTTCTTTTGCATTTACATTTTAATACAACAAATCTTGCATGTCACAAAGAACTTGTTTTTCCACCTCCACGAATGAAACGAGTGTCTTTCATTATGTTGCCTTGTTGAGGTACATTGTTTGTATACGGATACTGTATGAACGAGATCGTTATAAATATCCGGATAAGTTACGGCTGGCAAAGTGGCAATAAGGACGGATCTTTACTTAAGCTTGATTGGTGTGGACCCACATCAAATAATAGCATTATCTTCTCTTGATACCGACGAGATGAAGCCAGGCTACTGCTCCCCTCAACTCAAATCTGCGCGCGGCTAGGGGCAGCAGGACCGATGTCATGTCAACAATATGGCCGCGGTTAGCTACTTCCGGTGTTTGCGAATAAGGTCTATTAACTTCACCCTTTCAAATGCTTTATTTGTGGATGCTTCTAATTCTCCTTTCTCTATTGAAGGTTTCTCAAGTAGTAGCAATGCCCCATCATCATTTCCCAGTGGGCAGCTGCCTGACCACCCTGCGTCTGTGTTCTGATGGTACCTACCTCTACTGGGTTTGGTCACCTGTCAGCATCAATGAGAAAACACAAAAAGGCCACTCTGTCTTCATGGATGTCTTCCAGCTAACGGTATTAACTTGAGAATGTGTCAAGATTTTTCCTGTGTCAAAAATGGTCTTCGTTGGTGGCGGGCAAACGCGGTCATTCACACACAGTACAATGTGAACTGCGAGCCAAGTACTGTCAATAAATCCAAAACCAATGCAAAGAAACATTTTATAATATTAACATATCCTATTTATTAATGAAATAAAAATAATCACTGTCAGGATGGATCATAAAACAAAGTGCTTAGAACTATTTTATATTTAAAATTCAGTAAGTGACTTATTTGAAAAGTTGGTAACACTTTAGTTTAGGGTCCAATTCTCACTATTAACTAGTTGCTTATTAGCATGCATATTACTAGGAGATTGGCTGTTTATTGGTTCTTATAACGCACTTATTAATGCCTTATTCTGCATGACCATATTCTACATCCCTTAATGTTTTGGTCACGCCCCCCTTTAAACCTTTAAAAAGAAAATCTGGCTATATATATATATATATATATATATATATATATATATATATATATATATATATATATATATATATATAAATGGAAAGATTTTTGGTAACGCTTCCTTTTACAGTCCTGTTACCCCATGTACATACTATGTACTTATTATAGTAATTACAATTACTGGGTAATAACTAGGTACTAACCCTGAACCTACCCCTAAACCTACTCCTAACCCATGTACTTACAGTGTACTTGCCTAAAAAGTACTGGCTAATATAAGGTAAGTACACGTAAGTACTGTACTGTAAAAGCAAGCGTTATCAGATTTTTTACATTGAAAACGTGCAGTGAAAAACAGGAATAGTTTCACTTCATGTCATTGCATTATATAATAGTAAGAGAGAATAATAGACTAATATATAATAGACTTTTAATTTAAATAAACAAAAACATTTAAATAGTTAAGTGATATTTTGGATGAACACTATATAAAAGCGCCAATACATACAGCTTTTGACAGCTCCTCACAAGCTCAGCTTCTTGTTGGTCTTCTCACCACCGGAACGTGCACAGCAGCGGAGTGGCGCTTTCACAATAGCAGCTTGTGGTTCAGTCCGCTGAAGAGGTGCTTTTCTATGGGGAGCAACTTTTATGTTGGGCTTGTTCCAACGGTCTGAAGAAGAACGATTCAGTGTAATTGCCGTTTGTTGCCGCTTTATAAAGGCAGAGTGCTAACCGCTATTCACGCACTTGAACGTCGTAGTAACGTAACGGCTGTTTTTTTTGTTTTTTTTCTGCTGATCTCCCGCATGGTTATCACTGTCAATCGGAATCAATCATGCATTTAATTATGGTTGTCAATCCAGAAACTTGAAAAATATATATTATATACAGAAAGCAAGCAAAGATCGCTGCCATTATGAAGCTGTCAATTACAGCCCGAGGTACACGCACACAAAGCTGCACTCTTGTGAGAACTCCCCTTATAATCAATGAAGCTGTGCAATGAATCTCTTATTAACATTGCGTTTATACTTTGTTGGTTATAATGAAAGGATTCGTGAGCATGCAGAGCTCACGCTGAAGAAAAACTCTGCCATTTTGAGCGGTGTTGAGCAGATTCTGACTAACTTAAACACATCTGATTGGCCGTTGCATTCACACGCTCAACAGATATGTCTGTGATTGGCTACAAAGTTCAATGCTGCAAAAACACATTGTAAATAGAAACCTTTGACTCTCTTCATAGAGCTTACACAAACACAGGAGCGTTTTAAAGCAGCTAGCTGTCAGTGGGTATCAGTACTGTAAAACTGCAGGTAACGTTAAATGAATGGCAAGACAAAGATTAATTTTGGTGGCCATCAAAATATTTTTAATGCAGGAAAAACCCTCTGTCTATGTGAAGATTTTTGTAATATCAGACTTGTTATTTCATTATGTTCTCAGTGGAGTTTTGTAGTTGCATTTACAAAAGTTTTTTTTATTGCATGCATTGACTGGTAACCCTTGTGAAAAAGAAGTACATCTCAGCAGACTTTTAAATATCACTTATGGAAAAAATGTAGGCCTACTTTACATTCAGTTCACACTTAAGTATATATATTTTTAATGTTTTTGGACACTTAAGTACATAATTAATTTTCATGTAATTGCAATTAACATTTAAATCAATTAGTCAAACTTTACAGTGTTTTTTTTTACCCAAATAAGTAGGACTTGTATGTCATGTATTTAAAAATTGCATGCATGAAAAATAGTTGTAATTATATATATGTAAAGAAGTTGCATTTCAGTACATATCAAATATATGAACTTTTAAATGTAATATAGAAAAATGCATTAGTTAAAATTATAATCAAGTACTTGTGAAAAGCTTGTAAAAGCGTAATGATTTAAAATGTACTTTAATGTAAAACTTTTAATTTGACATTATTACAAAGTGCACTTTTAAGTGTACTTAAGTGTGTTAAAAAATAGTCATGAAAGTGTAAAGTACACTTAAGTGGCCTTTAATGTTTTTAATATTTATTTTCTGCAAGCTTAGTTATTTTAATTATATACTATAATTATATTACTTCAATACAATTAAGTACACTTCTTTTTCACATGGGAATTATTATAAATGAAGCAACTAAGAAGTCTTCCCTGAACCCTCACTTCACGAGCTCCCATTATCTGTTTTTTTGCAGACTGAGTCTGGTCTGTGTGTGGCCAGCCCTATACAAGATCGGGTAATCCTGTCGCGAAAGGAAGGCGAGTCATCTAAGTGTTTGAATGAGCTGCTCCTGAGCCGCATGTCTCGCTTCCGTGCTTCCCACTCCTCCACACTGGCTGCCCTCACCGGCTCTGCCATCACCAACCCCGTCAAAGAGGAGCAGTCGGGTAATACTGCTGTATGTTGTTTGTGCCTCGGCTGTTCCCAAGCGACAACTTTTTTGGCTTGGATACAATGAAGTGCACTTCATTGTATTAAGTGTGCACTTGTAGTGTATTTCAAGTCTTAAAAGTATAGTATTACAAAACTGTACTTGCAGATAATATAATATTAATTCAATAAACGAGAGTACCCTCTTATGGCTCTTTCTTAAAGGGATAGTTCACCCAAAAGTGAAAATTCTGTCACCATTTACTCACCCTCATGTTGTTCCAAACCCGTAAGACTTTCGTTCATCTTCGGAACACAAATTAAGATTTTTTTTTTAATGAAATCTGACAGATTTCTGTCCCTCCATTGACAGTCCACACAACTACCGCTTTGACGCTTCAAAGCATTCATAAAGAGATCTTAAATCTAATTCATATGAATTGAGCGCTTTAGTCCAAATTTTCTGAAGAGACTTGATCGCTTTATATGATGAGCAGATTGAATTTAGGCTTCTATTCACATACCGTAATTCCTCAAATAAAGACCGGTATTCAAATAAACGCCGGGCCTCTGATAGTGGCCGGGGGCGTGGTCAACGCGGACAAATAAAGGCCGGTCTCAAATTAAGGCCGGGGAAAAAATAGTGTGAATAGGTACACTTTAAATGAGTGTACACTCAAAGACGGACGCGCTCAGCGCTTGTCATATATCACAACTATTCAGTGTTTTTAACCACATGTTTATTTTAGGTTTCAGACATTTAAATAGATATGATTTATAGCAAAACAATAAATGTATAGTTTGTAAAATACACAATGGTGTCTATGGAAGCAGCAATAACAATCCATTCAAATATATTTGGCGACGTGTTTTATTCATATCAGATACACAGTGTGTAAGTAACTATAAAGTTTACTCTATTCTTCTCCCAGTTCACCGGCCACTTACTTTCATGTATTTCGGGAGAAACTGAAGAATTCACGCGCTGTAACTTAACAAATACAACAGGAATCTCCGAACTGCGGTGCCCATCTCACGTTACAGATCAAGATCATTTATAAAGGGTTTTAAACGACAAAACAAACTCACTTACACGGATTTGAGAGTCAGAATAGAAGATAGTTGATGACATGGTAAGCAAGTTTGTTAATATTTAGAAATAAAAGCGCTACATCTGTCATACAGCGCTATTTTGGCTGTGGTGAACACGTGCCAAGCATGACGCGTCACCATGGAAACTTGGCTGGCGGGCGGGCGGGGATCGCAAATTAGAAATAAAGGCCTGCCTCTAATAAAAGCCTGCTTCAAATAAAAGCCGGCTACCATCTGCAGTTCAGGTAAATAAAGGCCCCGGCCTTTATTTGAGGAATTACGGTATAAACATTGATCAGCGGAAAATGTTTAAGCGTCAAAGTGGTAGTTGTGTAGATTGTCAATGGAGGGACAGAAATCTCTCAAATTTCATTAAAAATGTCTTCATTTATGTTCCGAAGATGAACGAAACTCTTACGGGTTTGGAGCGACATGAGGGTGAGTAAATGATGATAGAAGTTTCATTTTTAGGTGAACTACCGTAACCCTTTAACACGCTTAAGAACACTGATTAAAAGTGTAAAGAAGTACACTAATTTTGATGTGTTGACTAACATACTAAAGCACAGTAAAGTACTTGATTATAATTTTAATTCTAGTGTGTTGTTCAATATTACATTGAAAGTTGATATATTACATATGTACTAAATTGCAACTTCATAATTAATTGCAAATATATTTAAATGTATGACATACAATTTTCAATAGAAATCCATACATAAGTCGTGACAACTTCAAGATGTTTGGAAAGCATACCTGGTGCTGTATTAAAGGCATGGTTAGTACGGCCATGAAAAACCTTGAAAAGTCATGGAATTTAAAAAGGGTTGGAAAAGTTTTGAAAAAATAAATAATCCAGAAAGTCATTGAAATTTGTTTCACAAATAGCTGTATAATAGAATATATGTTTAAAGGTACAATATGCAGGATTTTTGCAGTAAAATATCCAAAAACCACTAGGCCAATGTTATATATTTTGTTTAGTTGATTACTAATGTTTCCAACTATTTGTAAATCGTGAGAAAATTGCGATTTTAGAGACGCGAGTGTTGCATGTTACTTTATTAGACAGGTGAGTAAATGTACATAAAACTAATCAATGTTATGTAGTGCAACATGATAAAAAGTTAGAATATGATCTGTATGTTATTCTCTAATGTTAATCTAGCTTAGTCTCATACAGCCAACAAACAACCTAACTAACAACATTCCACCCACAAATGCCGTTTAGTGTGATAGTGTAACTGTTAGAGCAAGTGAAACAGCGCTGCGTTACCTCAAGTTTAATTCGTCTGATAAACTGACCTGTGTGAGTATTAATTCAGCACTTGCGTGTAGTTCGGTAGAATGAAATGTCGTTTATATCCGCATTGCGTGTGGCGCTGGTATACGTCTAGCAGTCGCGCCCTGCTTCATGTTAAAAACATCAATGTATTCACTCATCCATAAAAGATCCATCAGCTTGACGACAAGATCCATAATTCTGCTTAATGCTGAATATATGTCATTAATATACGCCTTTGTTATTGTAAAAGGTTAGCATCCCCTGGTGGCGAAAAATCCTGCATATTGTACCTTTAATTGATAATTTGGGATAAACAAATGTCGCCTCACAGCAAGAAGGTGCCCGGTTCCAGCCCCGGATGAGCCAGGAGTCCTTTCTGTGTGGAGTTTGCATGTTCTCCTCGTGTCAGCAGCATGGGTGTCCTCTGGGTGCTTTGGTTTAGATTAGATGGATTGGACATATTGACATATTGGCTGTCGGAGTGTGTGTATGAGTCGGAAGGGTATCCGGCGTAAAACCTGTGCCAAATCTAATCTGTGTGTGGATAATTCTGATGAAAGCGGACCCCGCAAAAGCAGAACTAATGCTAGAAAAATATATATTGGATAAACTAATTGATAATACCTTTCGTATTTCTTCAATATCGTATAACTCGCAGTGTTGATCTTGGTCTCTTGTTTTGTTTGTTTTTTCTTGTCCCAGTAGTCAACACAAGTTGTGGCTTGTCTATAAAAACACTGAGGAAGACACCGATGTACGTGTGTGGAACGTACCTAGTGATGCTGGCACCCACTCCAGGTGTAGCTGGGAGCTCTGCCACCCGCTCACTGTTTGGTGGCGCCAGTGGCCTTTCTTCCCTTAAGAGTAAGTCATCATCTCTTATTCTGAGGGGAAAGATCTTTATACCCTAATCAAACATTTTAACATAATCACTATCATGGATAGTGTCCGAATAGTGATTTATCATTTAACGTTATCTATTTTTGCCGCCTCATTTATGCCACTGTTACCTAACATATGTAAATCAAACATATAACAATTAAAGGGATAGTTCACCCTAAAATGAAAAATCTTTTATCATCTATTTCACCCTCATTTTGTTCCAAACCCATATGACTTTACTTACTTCTGTGGAACAAATATGAAAATCATTTAGTAAACTCTTGTTAAAAAGCAACCAAGAGTGTCAGCGAAAAAGTACTTTTATTTGACATTCTCAAAGTCGTAACTTTTTTTTTTTTGCCAATCCATTGTGTTTTTTCCTAGTCTTGGCATCTAGTTTGGTGTTTAACCTGGCTGATGGTCAGTTTAGCAATCGTGCAGACCTCGTAGATGCTCCAGGAAGTTCTCTGGGTCGTGGGGCTCAGGTTGCAGGACTGGGTAAGAATCAGACATTTCCACACATCAAGGCCCTTTCACACTAAACTCAATGCATAGATCAAAACAAATCTCAGACAGAATATGCATTGGGCTTAAGGAATTGCAATACATTGTTGTTGACTATGTTCTTACTCCTTAAATAAAATTAAACCTAGCACATACGCACATTTAAAATGTTCAGTCTTTCCCTTTTGGAAAATGGACCAATGGAGCGCTCCCATTGTTCTACTTCACAGATTTTCAACCCGCTTTGTATTGTTACAATGTAGTACATGTAAATTACCAATGTTTACTCGTTCTCCATGTAACCTGGACTGAGAAATGTAAGTTTATTTGTGAGCAAAAGTCCGCCGGATGATGCAGAACAGCTTTTTCTCTGTATTTATGATTCTTAGCAGCCTTTAGCCACAGGCTAGTTCCTTCACTGGAAACTGAAAGTAACCCACTCCTGCTAAACGTTTACTCTTTAAACTTTTACTTAAACTTTCCTGCACCTGAGAACAATACAAGTCCACACCATTATGACTAAAAGTCTGCTAAGAAGTGTTTCCTACTAAAGCAAGGTGGATTTGACTCTGGTCAAGCGTATCCATAGCAGAATGGTGGGAGTGGCCTTGGATGGCAACATGCCCAGTGAATTATGGGTGTTGAAGTTTTCCTACCTATTTGGCAAAAGGGAAGTCAACAGCCTTTTTTGCTCTGTTTTCTCTAGTAAGGTAGAACCTATTTATTTTTACCTTTCTACTTCATAGCCAGCCAAGTTTTATTGAAAGCCCATTTTGCCAGCGATAAAGTACCTCTTTAAATAGTAGATGTTTAAAAACTTCTATACAATTTTCAGCTTATTTAAAACAGAATTAACAGATTTGTTCAAACATGCATTAAATAATTAAGACACCAATAACAGGTTAAATAAAATAAAAAGATATTTAACAATATATTTACAATTTTAGTGATATGCTCTTCTCTAAAGTTCTTTTTTGTAGCTAACTAACAGGCTGTGGGCATTAAATGACTTTCCTGAGATAAATGTAACGTCATGGTCACAAGCTGTTATTTTGACCTATTTCTGCGGTTGAAACACTGGTTGGGTGATTACATGAGAGAGGTGCATTTCAATAGGTTGTACTGTATCTTTCAACATACCTTCTGATGTTCAGTCATGTGTTGTTGTTGTTGTTGTTGTTTTGTTTCAATTTTACACCACATTTAAGAGAAAAAAACAACACTGACAAACAAAACAATATTTAAAAATATATATATATATTCACTGCAACATTGACATCATTTGAAAGTAGAATTTCTTTTATCAAAATCAACAGAAAAGTCTAAGTTTTGAGCATGTGTTTTTTGTGACTAATTCTGATGGAGCACATCATATCAATGTTGTTATTTTTAACTAAAACTATTACAAATATTTTTTGTTAATTGAAATAAAGCTGAAATAAAATAATATTAAATGAATACCTTAAATTTAAACAAAAAATTTGAAATGTTGCCTTGGCAGAATACTAAAAGTTGAAGTACTAAAACTAAAATTAAAATGAATCTAAATATAAAAGAACTTAGTAAAAATTACATAAAACACATAACACAACTATTAAAATTGAAACTACGTTTAATGTGAAAATATATATAAAAGCTAAAATATAAAAATAAAAGCTAATTCAAACTATTAAGAAAAAACACTGTGTCACATATGATTGTATAATGACTGTTCTAGGGGCCTGCTATGATGCACTTAACAACTTAATCTGGACGTGCTCCAGTGACTACATGGACCAATGGTGTAACCCTGGAAACCAGGCCTTCCATCATGTGTGCCAACGACTTGGCGTCAGTCACGTCATCAGTCAGCCTAAAGGTATTGAAACTGGAGCTCTAACATATGCAACAAAAAGTTTACTCGAGTTGATTTTTTGGATGGTTTTGATATTGCACAGCAAAACATTTTAGAGGCTTGCATTCATTAGACCATGACCCAACCAGGCACAGTCTTTAGCTATTATAGTGACAATAGCTGATTTTGCTAAAGTTTCCCTTGTGTAAAAGAAGTGCACTTTAGCATACCTTTAAAAAGAGTACTTAAGAAATAATATACTTTTTAAAGAATATACTTGTCAACTGAGTACAACATTTTCATGTTATTTGCAATTAAATGTGGTTTAAATTGATATTAAATGCAATTAGCTGAACTTTAGAGTGCTTTTGGACCCCCTTAAGTTAGACTTAAGTACATCTTTATATATAATTTTGTAATTACTTCTATTGTCTTTGAAATATGGTTAAAGTGAACTGCTGAATGTACTGACAAGCATTTATGGTAAACTAAAATATACTTTTTTGTCATTTCTATTGAAACTTGTATGTTGTGTACTTAAATATATTTATAATTGCACAGTTTTACTGATAACGTTGCAATTTAATACATTAAATAATCAAATACAAAATATATTAATTTTAAATGCATTATTAATTAACTCTACAGTTAAACTTATAATCAAGCACTTTACATGCTCTTTAGTATGTTAGTCAATACATCAAAATAAGTTTACTTCTTTAAAGCACAACAAAAAAATATTAAAACAATGATTTATAGTAAAACTTTGAATTTGACATTATTACAAAATAGTCATGAATGTGTTCTTTTTTTGGAGAGTGGCCTTTATTTTGTTATCATATTATCTGCAAGGCAAGCACAATTTTAAAAACTATACTTTTATGATTTGAAGAACACATTTATTACAATAAAGCACACTTCTTTTTTTTTTTCTTCTTTTTTTTTACAAGGGGTCACTTTTCATTGCTATACCTGTGCAGATATTTTTGCAAGGACATGGTGTATAGGACACTTAGTATGCAAATGTAAAAAAAAAAAAAAATTTTTAGATGTGCTCATATACAGAAATGATCTGTATCGTTTTCCCCATCATGTTTTTGACTCTTTATTACAGAAGAAATGATAGACACCGGCAAAGTGATAAACCAGCTGCTCCATCATGTTGGCGCTATGTGCATCCACCAGCTCAACCTGCTAGCAGCCAGCAGTAGTTTACACCTAGGAACCTTCATAGGAAAACAGCCCATGGAGGCTTGCCACTTTAGTTCTATATGTGACGTCATGGAGAAGGCCATGGTCAACGGAGACACGTGCATCATCCGATGCATTCTGGTCGTCTTTCAGGTGTGTAATGTGTATATAATTGGTGGGGTTTAAGATTTACATTTGAATTACATACATTATAAACACTACAGTATGACTTTGTTACAGTATAACTTCCTGCAAAGCTGCTTTGAAATAATGTGTATTGTGAAAAGTGTCATACCAAAATTGTATGTAATACATGTGACTTAACTAAGTGCTCATCAGCAGTGAATAGGTTGACACCCACTTGAAGGAGGAATATTCTCTTTTGTGTTTTCCAGGTGGTGTTCCAGTTTTTTAATCCAAATTCTGAGCAGAACCGGGACTGTGTTAAGCGTTCTGGACTGTTGCTGTGGCAGTTACTTATGGCTCCTCCTGATCAGATAGAACCGGAAATACAAAGAGAAGTGTGTCTTGCCATCAGGTGAATCTAAAAAAAAAAAAAAAAAAATTTAAATGTGGTGTTTATAATATGGAGACAGGGAATAATTTGCGTATTCATGCATCCAGATATACTAAATGAAGCAAAGGTGTACATTCAAGCTATTTTAAGGCATTAAGAAATTACTTTCACGGTGAAAGAACATTTAAATATGTCATTTTGATGATCAAAAATGGGATTTAAGGGATAATAATTTTTTAACTAAGGGACTTTAATATTTTTTTAATATTCTTTAAAAAAAATCTTCCTTTCTCTTCTGAAGTTGAACAAATTTCTTAAGGGATTTAGTAAAAAAAAAATCTTAGTCTGAAAAAAATGTTGTTGAATTTATGCAACTGGCCTCGATATCTGCAATAACTACAAACTATTTTTCTATTCTTTCTTTATTCTTATTAGCTCAGGTTTAAACACCTTGTACCAGAGCGAATCTGAGTTGAACAACCTGCTAAAATTTGTTTTCACTGAGGGTAAGAATTACAAATAAATACACATCGTGCAGAAATCAAGTTTAACTATAAGCTGAGTTATTACTGGTTCACTGTAATTGCACAATTTCATATTGATAAGCAACAGTGCCAGTAATAACACTTTTTTTTTTTCTCTCTGCAGGGGAGAAGAACAGTGGTTTGTCTCAATTACGTGATGTTATATTAAACAACCTTGCTAACCAGTTACAGAAGAACCGCTTTGGTAGTGAGGAGGATGACCACTACAGGTAACAAGTTTCACGGCTCTTTAGATCTGTTCAATACTGTATACTCTACTAGTCATGCATAACACTAAAAATCAACATAATTCTTTTGTGATCGCAACATTCAAGTTTCTCCCTTATCTCAACAAAAATGTATTACAATTATTATTATTATTAAATGTATATGTTCCTATAAAGCAATGTTATTTACCTTGATGATAGATATTGTAAATATCTGTAGATGATTTTTGGTTTATATCTGTTTATATCTGTCATTTACACTTTCTCTCCTCTTCCCCTGCAGACTGAAAGATGAACTGTTGCAGTGTATCTTGAAGACTGTAGTGCAAGAGTCATGTCTCCTCATCACCAAATGTCAAACCGTTTCCAAGGAAGACCTTCAGAAGCTTCTCTCCACTGTACCTGTATGTGACTTCCACATAAATGCATTTAAAAAAGTTCTTTGTAAAGAAACACTTCGTTGTGACTGGTTGGTCTGAATGTAGTTTTTAACTGAATTAATCTTAGCTCTACAAGCCATTTGTTTTCATATCCCTTGTGAAAAAGAAGTACACTTTAGCATACTTTAAAAAAAACAATTATTAGAGAAATATACTTTATAATTAAGTGCAAACTGAATGTAATGTTTTCATACATTTAATTGCAATTGTAGTAAATGCAATTAGCTGAATTTTAGAGTGATTTTTATTTTATTTATCTTTGTAAGTAATTTCTTAATTACTAGTATTGTTTTTTACTAGTATTTAAATTATTATCAAGTACTATGTGCTTTAGTATGTAAGTCAACACATCAAAATAATTTGACTTTTTTTTTAAAGCATTACAAGTTATAAAACATAATGATTTAAAATGTACTTTACAGTAAAACTTTTAATTTGTCATTATTACAAAGTGCACATTTTAAAAGTCTATTTAAAGCCACACTATGCAAGAATTGTACCTTAATATAACAGCTTCAAAGTCATTTCGGTGGTAAACAAACTCATAGTAGGGCGAATCATCCTGGTAGTAAAGCTTGGGGGGGGGGGGGACGCTGCTGGGAAAACCAGCAATGCAAGTTTGAGAGGAGCGCCCCCGACAAATCTCGCAAGAATCGCGACATGCTTTACGGCAACGACGTCACACACATCAACCACAACATGAAGCACGAAGACACTTGCGTGCATTTCAGACGTGATACTCGACGATGGAAAAAGCAAAGAAAACGCGGTCGAAAGAGACTATGAAAAGGAAAAGAGAATGAGCCTCTCAACCCGTAAATAAATGCATCGATCCGCAAGTTTTGTTTGAGTTCTTTAATGGTCTAGTGGTAGATCTTTTGCCAAGCGTGTCAGAGTTACAGGTTCTAAGTTTTTTCTCTCTCATCAAAACTGAATATGTTCATCAGTGGTTACAGTCTATATCAAGCAGGGACACGTTTTTGTGCATTTTATTTTGTGATTTCACCGGAATGAATAGAGAGTCTCCGCAACGGCGATAGATTGAAGAGCGCGTCCGAGTGAAGACTGCCCGTGCGCTGCCACAAGAGACACTATGTATCCATGACACTGATAGCAGCGGACACGAACGCTCAGCTTGAGTTCAAAAACACATTTTAGTGCTAGATCTTATTTAATGCAAAAATGCACACTATGCAAGATTTGTACCTTAATATAACAGCTTCAAAGGGGTATCAGGCCGTGAGTGCACAGACCAGTCTATGGCAGAGACGCTCTGCGTGAGTGGTATTTACGACAGTAACGTTAAATACAAGTACTCCACAGCGACTCTAGGGGTCGCTGTTTGACAAAAACGGAATTCCTGCATAGTGTGCCTTTAAGTGTGTTAAGAAACAGTCATGAAAGTACTTGAACTTGCACTTCTTTTTTACAAGGGAAATCAAACTAAATGAATTAATGAAATAGATGAGATCAATTGTTTTCATTAATTTTCTTGGGATAACTTTAGAATGATAGTTTTGTTTTTCTTGCTATGAAACATGACCAATTTCAAAGCATTTTACCATAACAAACACATGATTTAACATTTTTCCTTCTGTCCAATTCACACTGAACTGACAGACGCCGACCAATGGCAACAGACACTGTTGTGTTTTGTTGGATCAGTGTATTCCCTCTGTCAGTCTCTGTTGGCATTGGTCGGCACTTGTTTTTGCCGATTGAACATGTTGAATCAGAATTTGTCAGGTCATGGAATGTCTGAGAAGTGACGTAATGTAATCTGGTGATTGTTCGCATTGGTGGTTTTTACAAGAACGTGATGTTTTAAGGCCATATCACACTGCACCAACAATGTTGTTCTTACTATTATGTTGTGTGTTTACATTGAAGTTCTTAAAAAAGCCATCTTGCCTGTAACAGGATCATTTTCTTGCAAAGCCAATTTTACATGTTTGGTTTGCTGAGTGATATTTTGGACCCTGTTTAAATGGTGCATCTAAATGTATACATTCAATCATAATGTGAAATAGTTGTCTGGATAATTTCATACAATTTATTGAATCACTAATTAACCCACAGCACTTCCACATCAACAGGTAGTGTCACCAAGCTTGCGTTACTTAATGGCTGTGCAGAACCATTTGCTCAGCAACACCATCCTGCTCCACCCTGATGACATTGATGATAGTGACAGCTCCCTACAAGGGGAAACAATGAAGGTACAGGTAAACATCCCCTTTAAAAACCCTATGGTTTGTGTGGACTGATGACGACAGCTCCTGCATTCATGAAAGATGAAACAAACAGGAATTAAAACAGTTAAATATACTGTGCTCTGTTCTGTAGCTTGAAGTGTATATATATGTATATATAAGAAGAACTGTTGCCAAACATATAACATGCTATGCTAGAAACATCATTATTGCAGTGATTATTATGTTTCTAGTATGTTATATGTTTGGCAACAGTTTTTCTAACCCTAATTGATGGTGTGTGTAGCTTTTAATTTCTTAAACATTTTTATTTTCCACGTCGTCAGTAGATAACGCGCTGAACTTTCCACTTCCATCAGTGCTTTCATGGAATTGCGCTCGCGCTAATTTGCCGTGTTTATTAAATCTGGCCCTAAGTTTCTTAAAGGGGCGGTTTACCCAAAAATGTAAATTATACCATGATTTACTCACCCTCAAGCCATCCAAGGTGTATATAACTATCTGCATTCAGACGAACACAATTGGAGTTATTTTTAAATATACCCTAGCTCTTCCAAGCTTTATAATGGTAGTGAATGGGGGACGAGATTTTGAAGCCCAAAAGAATTCATCATAAAAAATAATCCATATGGCTCCAGGGTGTTAATAAAGGCCTTCTGGAGAGAAGCGATGGGTTTTTGTAAGAAAAATATCCATATTTAAAACTTTTAGAGCCGTCCGGTAGACGGCCATATGCAGCGATTTGTGGCGAAAGAGGAATAATTAAATTGTATGAATGCATTTTAATTACATTCAGTTAACACCTAAGGGCATGTTCACACAGAACGCGTTTTTGCTTTGAAAAATGCAAGATGTGGGCAGTCGAATGGGGAAAAAATGTTGACGCGTTTTTTAAAAGTTGAACTGATTTTAACTTGACAACGCATTTTTAGAACGTCGTGTCATGCTCAAGATGCTGCAAAAGATGCAAGTCCGTCTAGCGCGTGATTACATAGAAAAACAATGGAAACATAGCGCATTGGAATGGAAAACCGTGTTCTATGTGAACGTATATTCTTTTTAAGTATATTATTTCTGTAATACGTAAAAGTATGCTAAAGTGTACTTCTTTTTCACAAGGGCTCTGTACCAGCTTTAGATGTTCTCAAAGAAATGTGTGTGTTGAATGTGCGTGTTCCCCTCAGGAGTTGCAGACGAGCATCTTATCACTTGCTTCGAAGATCCTGGTTGGGTGTGATGAGGTTCTGGAGACCCTTCAGCAAGTCACCAGCTCCCTTATCAACAGCAACATCAGTGATCGAGAGACCAGGTGCATTACAATATTATATATTTTTGTTTTTTATTTTATAACTTTATTTGTATGTTGTACATGTAATTAAACACTTTCTTTTCTAATTTTTTTAATGTGAAGACTGAGAGGACTGGAACAGGTAACGAAGGCCACAATGTTGGGTCACTTGCTGCCGGTTCTGTTGACCTCACTGATGCACCCGAACCTACAAACCCTCACACTAGCTGATGCTCTCATGCCACAGCTAGTCCAACTGGTCCTCTATACTAGTCAGGTGTGTATATGTGATTGTTGGATGGAAGAGCAAGGTGATTTAGCTAAAAACATGTATCGCAATCATTTTTCATCATTTGGACAATATTTGATATACATAGCATCTCAATATTTATGTATTTGCTCTCAAATAGCATAGAAATCTAAACTCTCTATTGCTAGTATCGGACAAAATATTTTAGCATTCTCATACAGGCTTTAAGAAATGTTATGGTCAAATAAAAAGCTAATAATCAAAATTAAATAATTAAATATATTAACCAGCTCTAATCGATGCACACAAATGTCAATGTTTTACTCTACCACCAAGGCTGCATTTATTGAGCAAAATACAGTATTGTGAAATCGTTTTCTATTTCTTATATATATATATATATATATATATATATATATATATATTAAAATGTAATTTGTTCATGTGCTGCAAAGATTAATTTTCAGCATCATTACTCCAGTCTTTACTTTCACATGATTTTTCAGAAATCATTCTAATATGCTGATTTGCTGCTCAAGAAACATTTCTTATTATTATCAATGTTGAAAACAGCTGCTTCATATTTTTGTGGAAATATTCAGGATTATTTGATGAATAGAAAGTAAAAAAAACAGCATTGTTTGAAATTGTTGTAACATTATTAATGTCTTGACTCACTCTTGATCAATTAAATGCATCCTTTTTGAATAAAAGTATTAATTTCTTTCACATAAAAAACCGTACTGACCCCAAACGGTAGTGTACATTGAGATTTTTTTTAAATTAAAATAAAAATGAAAAATGGCAGATTTTCCATTAACGTGTGTGTTAAGTACATTTGTAGATCAAAATAATAAATCATAAACCGTTGGTATTGTTAACATCGACTGCTCTGAATCTGTCTATCCAACAGACTGCTTTGCTGCTGAAGACACATTCACCATTATTTTCGGAGGATTCCTCGCTAAATCAAGGCCCCAATCCACCCTCATTAAGTGATGGGTAAAAATGCGTTTTTTTCTATCTATCCTTGAAACTATTGGACAAAAACCTTTAGATTACTCAAACACAAAATTCTGTTGTATTTAATTCAGTTTCCAGATTCTGGAAGAGAGAGAGGAGCCAGGTTTTTTGACCGGCCTGAAGATCCCTGCCCCATGGGCCGCTGGGAAAACAGTGGAAACTGTTCATCCAGTGCGGGACAACTACAAATTTAAAGATACAGTGCACATCCCTGGTGCGCGCTGTCTCTACCTCCGTTTTGACCCTCGCTGCTCCTCCCAATATGACTATGACAAGGTTTGAACTTTCGATTCTGTGAAACTTCTGTTCTCATTCAATAGTGAAATGAAAGTGACTATGCATGCTCATTAACTCTCGTTATTCAGCTGGTGATTTATGCCGGGCCCAACACAAATAGTCGAAAAGTGAGTGAGTATGGAGGCAACACCATGGGTTATGGGAGCCGTAGTGTCTTGGGAACTGGATGGCCCAAAGATCTTGTCAAGGTGAGGAAAAGCACTCTCCATAACATCAGATGGCACACTTACAATGTTCACGAATAAAGATAATAACATAAAATAATGTGTTAACTTGTAATAACATATATATATTTTTAAATGTCCTTGATACATGGTAAAACTGGTATATAATCTAATTCATCTGTGCTCTTGATGAAGAAAATAGAATTTCAATGTTGTCAATTTAAAATTCAAGCCTCTCTATACACAGATCTGTTTGCTAAAATATCTTAGCCGATTTTGATAAAGTAACGGTGAGCATTGCTTTTATATTTAAAGAACAAAAAAAACCACACTTTTATTTAAGATTTTTTAACATTTTTAAGATTTGAATCAATAGAAATGCTTCAACAATGGTAAATGCAATGAAAAGGGTTTTTTTCTTTTTCAGAAAAACAATTTATTTATATGACTATAAAAGCACGACGTATCAAATGTGGTACATACATAAAACATTTTTTAACAAATTTTTTCTAAAGGTCCAATAGACAGATAAAATGGTGTGCTTAAAATATAAGACGCCAGAGTACACATTCAACATTCGCAAACAATCTACAGATATTAAATATCTGTATACGCCTTTAATACACTTTTAACCGTATGTTTTTTCAGGTGGAAGGAGATACTGTGACATTCTCTTTTGAGATGAGAAGTGGACGTGAGCACAATACCCCAGATAAAGCCATGTGGGGTTTCTCATGCACTGTCCGAGCACAGGTACTAACTTAAGACTTTACATAAGCCTTTAAATAGATCCCAATCATAAAATTCACAGAGAAAATTTTTAATACTCATTAGACGTTCATTGACTTTGCTTATCAAACGTGTTTTTCTACAAATGTCTTGGTTGCAGGGTTATAGTTGTGTACTAAAACGTAGATTAAAACTATTTACTTTATACATTATTTCAGACACGGGTCAATATCAATAAAAAAAATGCACAAACATGTATTTAAAAAGCAGCAAACGTATAATTTAAAAGTATAATTGACATTGCTCTAAATATTTTGTTCCGTTTACAAAATTTACAAAATAAAAACCGAAAGGACTGTGTTGAAATGTGTAAGAAAAACTAACTGAAATTAAATACTCAACAAAAGTAAACCAAATGACAGTGGCATGAACTGTATTTTTATATCTATGTAATGTGAATCTGTCTGTTTTTGTTTTGTTTTTGTACCATTGCCTGTATAGTTAATTTATGTCCTGTTGTCGAGCCAAAGACAATTTTCCACCTTGGTGGACAATAAAGACATACGACATTAAAGACACACTGTTGAGCAAAAGCATTGCAGACACCAACTAATATCTACAAAGACAGCATCCATGCTTTTAATATGGAACTAGGCAAAGCTAGACAGACTTTCTTCTCGAATATTATAAACAGCAACTTAAACAAGACACGCACTCTTTTTGCTACTGTAGAGAGACTGACAAACCCCCCAAGCCAGATTCCCAATGAAATGCTCTCAGACAGCAAGTGCAGTGAGTTTGCTTCTTTCTTCTCTGAGAAAATCAATAAAATCAGAAAGGTGATCAGCTCATCCTTGAGTTGCACTGGGGTCAAACAGATCGGACCACTACCTGAGAAAGTAGTTACTATGTCTGTTTTCGAAGAAATTGATGGCAAAATTTTGGAAGAAACCGTACAGCACCTTAAAACATCAACCTGCGCCCTTGACGCACTTCCCACTTCTTTTTTCAAAAGTGTGTTAAACAGCTTAGAAGCAGATCTCATAGAAGTGGTAAATGCCTCACTTTTTTCCAACTTTTTTCCAGAGTTTTCCAAACTCCCTGAAAACTGCAGTTGTCAAGCCCCTCCTGAAAAAGAGCAATCTGGATAAGACCATCTTGAGCAACTATAGACCGATCTCAAATCTTCCTTTCATAGGCAAGATCATTGAAAAAGTTGTCTTCAATCAGCTGAACAAATTCTTAAGCTTGAATGGATACTTTGACAATTTTCAATCTGGTTTCCGATCACATCACAGCACAGAGACAGCTCTCATAAAGATAATAAATGATATTCGCTTAAATACTGATACAGGCAAATTATCAGTACTGGTACTACTAGACCTCAGTGCTGCATTTGACACTGTCGATCACAACATACTTCTTGACAGGCTGGAAAACTGGATGGGGCTTTCTGGGATAGTCCTAAAATGGTTCAGGTCATACTTAGAAGGGAGAGGTTATTATGTGAGTCTAGGAGACCATAGGTCTGAGTGGACGTCCATGACATGCGGAGTCCCTCAAGGCTCAATTCTTGCGCCACTCCTATTCAACCTGTATATGCTCCCAATGAGCCAAATAATGAGAAAGAACCGAATCTCTTACCACAGCTATGCAGACGACACACAGCTCTACTTAGCCCTATTGCCTAACGACTACAGCCCCATTGACTCCCTGTGCCAATGCATTGATGAAGTAAACGGTTGGATGTGCCAAAACTTTCTTCAGTTAAACAGACAAAACTGAAGTCATTGCGTTTGGAAACAAAGATGAAGTTCTCAAGGTGAATGCATACCTTGACGCTAGGGGTCTAACAACTAAAAATCAAGTCAGGAATCTTGGTGTGTCTCTAGAGTCAGACCTTAGTTTCAGTAGTCATGTCAAAGCAATAACTAAATCAGCATACTATCATTTGAAAAATATTGCAAGAATTAGATGCTTTGTTTCCAGTCAAGACTTAGAGAAACTTGTTCATGCTTTCATCACCAGCAGGGTGGATTATTGTAATGGTCTCCTCACTGGCCTTCCTAAAAAGACCATAAGACAGTTGCAGCTCATACAGAACGCTGCTGCCAGGATTCTGAGTAGGACCAGAAAATATGAACATATCACACCAGTCCTCAGGTCTTTACACTGGCTCCCAGTTACATTTAGGATTGATTTTAAAGTATTATTACTGGTATATAAATCATTCAATGGCCTAGGACCTCAATATATTGCAGATATGCTCACTGAATATAAACCAAACAGATCACTCAGATCATTAGGATCACATCAGCTAGAAATACCAAGGGTTCACTCTAAGCAAGGAGAGTCTGCCTTTAGCTATTATGCCAGCCGCAGCTGGAACCAGCTTCCAGAGGAGATCAGATGTGCTCCTACAGTAGTTACATTCAAATCCAGATTTAAAACACATCTGTTTAGCTATGCATTTACTGAATGAGCACTGTGCCACTGTTTGTCCGACTGTTTTTACTGTACTTTATTTTATTTTTTTATTCTAAACTGTTTTAATTATTCTTATTTGTTTTGATTATTTTATTTTCTCCTTTGTAAAGCACTTTGAGTTACCATTGTGTATGAAATGTGCTATAAAAAATAAACTTGCCTTGCCTTGCCTAATACTAACCTGAAGTCTAAAGGAAGTTTTAAAATAAAGACACTGAAATGGCAAAACTTTAATTAGCTTTCTTGGCTGTACTTCTAATTATGTTAATTTCAGGAGTCGTCAGAGGATGTGTCCGGTGGGCTGCCCTTCCTGGCTGATCTAGCTCTGGGTTTATCAGTGCTGGCCTGCGCTATGCTACGCATCCTCTATAATGGCCCTGATATCACACGAGAGGAGGAGGCCTGCCATGACCTTCTCTGCTCCAAACTACTGCAGAGGTGTGCTGATTATGTCAGGTTTGGTCCAGGAAGTGAGGACCCAAACGCAGAGATGCACTTCAGCAATCTTTATTTACATAGGAAATTAAACAAAAAGCACAGTGTAAAATAACAAATTTTCCTATTTGAATGCATTTAAAAAAATGTCAATTTTTTTTTCAGGATTCTTTGATGAATAGAAAGTTCAAAAGAACAGCATTTATTTGAAACATTAATCTTCTGTAACATTAATTATCAATGTCTTTACTGTCACTTTTGATCAAATGAATCTGTCATTGCTGAATAAAAGTATTAATTTCTTTTTTAAAAGGCCTTCTTATACACAAAAAAAGTTGCTGCCTTATTTTAAGTACAATCAATTTGGATGGTTAAGTCATTTCAACTTAAATTACATTCAACTGATTTTTTTTTTTTTAAATGAGTTGAATCTTGTATAACTTATATAAAAAAAGTTATTTTGGACCATGAGGTAATGTAAACCTGGCTATTGTATTGTTCCCAATGTTTAACAAAAAAAGAATAAAAAAAAAGAAAAGAATAGGATTGCAAAAAAAAACTAAGAAACACACACAAAAAAAATATTTTGATAAGTTAAAGCAATGTAAAACATGTTGTCATAACTTATTGATCATAGTGTATTTGGTTCTTATATTTTTAAGGTGTCAGTGGCAAGTGGAGGCTAATGGTGCGATATCTCCTGCTCTCACGCCGTCTCCGTCTCCCCTGCCTTTAACCATTGATGAAGAGAGAGAGTTCACCTATCCTTCAGACGTCCTCGCCCCGCCTGGGGCTTGCTGTGAGCTGCCCCGCATCCACTTACCTCAGGGCATTATGGGCCGCCTGAGGGAGCTGTCTGGAAGAGCCCGGCCTCAGTTTCGCCCCAGCATCAAGTAAGCACATGATAGGGAGTCTACCTATCAGTGGAATGCAATTACGCTAGAAGAACATTTAACCTTAATCAGAAATGCATAAAAATATAAACAAAACACTTTACAAATTCACTAATACATGGACATATTTAAAGGTTTAATTTATTTTGTTTAAACATGTACTTATACAATGAAAAAATATATACTTAATTTGTTGCTTCCATATGATCAACTACAAAGTATGTGTATGTATATATATATATATATATATATATATATTCAATCACTTTAAATACGTTGGTACATTTGTTCCATTTGCTAAGATTAGTTAATGCTTTAAGCTAAAATGAACTAACAGGGACCAATATATTTTTTTACAGCATTGATTAATGTTAGCTAAAAAATACAATCGTTCATTGTTTGTGCATGTTAATTCACAGTGTTTAACTAATGTTATGAGATGTAACTTTTAATAAAAAAAAATAGTAAGTGTTGAAAATAACATTACTTAGAATTAAGAAGTGCTGTACAATTATTGTTCAGCACTTCTTAATTCTAAGTAATGTTATTTTCAACACTTACTATTTTTTTTTTTTTTTAAAGTTACATCTCATAACATTAGTTAAACACTGCAAATAAAAATGCAAATAAATCATGACAAATAGGTTTATAAGGTTCGATTTGTTAACTCTAACTAACTATATTAATTAACCTAAACTAATATAGTTAGTTAGTTAACAAATCGAACCTTATAAACCTATTTGTGTCATGATTTATTTGCATTTTTGGTTTCAAATAAGTAGTATTTTATTTTAGTTTGATATTTTTTTTTATTCACACTTCCATAAAGGTTTGACCTTTTTGGCAGCAAACCACAACATTATGACTTCTTGCATCAGAAATATAGAATAATAGTTAATTAATCTTCTGTTTATTCTGTTCTCAGAGAGGTGATCCGTCCTGATGTGATGGAGGAAGTGATCGTGTCGTGTGTAATAAAGCACTTGGGCCTGGTAGATGCGCTGCAGTCGCTGGTGAACTTCCAGTACAGAGAAGTGCACAGAGAGGAACACAATCTGCTCTGCAAAATCATGGCCGAGACATTCAAGAAGATCAATGCAATGGAGAGACAGTTACAAGTATGTGTGACAAGTAGCCACAGATGTAGGGCTTTTCATAAACATATTGTGTGATGCTGTTGAAGAGTAACACTATATTTTGTGTCTGTGTTTGTTTCAGAGTGTAGCTGAATTGGAGCAGAAGTGGCAGAATGAAGTAGACGAAGCTCAACAGGGAAAACTTGAGAACAACTCGCCCTTCTTCCACGACTATCACTTCTTTGAGGCAAGTAATGTGAGATGTAGTGTGAACTAAATGTTTTACTTTACAATGTTTTTTTGTTTTTTTTTTAATCACTTGCACTTCTTTAGTACTTATTTTATATGTAATTTAATAATTTCTCTATTTGTCTGAAATAGGGTTGTGCATAGGGGTCGACCGATTATCGGCGCCAATATTAAGCATTTTTATGGGTATCGGCCATTTTCAAAACCGATTTGCCGATAAAATAATTTTATTTTGAAATGCGCTATATTTGGCTCTGACGCAGCCACCTTTGTCGGAACTCACCACTCTGTAGACTAGACTAATGTCCCCGCACATCTGATTTGTTGGGAGTCACGAGTCCGGCCAATCAGCGCGGAAAGCTGAGGCACTGAAAGTGTTGCACTCTCACACCGAGAGAGCACTCGCTGACTAGAGCTGCTTCACTGATCACGCTTCAGTTGTCTCTCAAAGTTAAAGCAGCAGCAAACTTTGCTAAAGAAGCAATAGCTAGATTACTACACTGAAGTTGCAAAATACCTCAATATAATATAGGTCCCTGTGATTTCCGAAATGCAGAACAGACAGAGTCGCGGAATCCAGTCATAAAAACGGAATTTACTGTATAAAGCGGAATATCACGGAGTTTGTCAACTTTTTGATGAATTTATAAAAAGCAGGTCAGTACAAATCAAACCGCAAAAAGACTATTTAAATATGAATCCTACGTGTCTCTAACGTTAAATGAATGGCACAGACGCGTGATTTCAGTTACCACACACACACACTGGAGCACACGTGACGCTTGTGCTGTTTTCAGCCTCAGCCGCATCATTATATGAGGACATGATTGCATAAACATTATCTCCAGAGCCGCTTAGTCACTTCATGAGCTTTTTAATGCTTCAACTGAGAAAAGTTATCGACATATCATAAACACACAGAAACTCAAAGATCTCCACGGCAACCCGTCAAAATAAAAGTTCGGTTTTTCACAAGGCCCTAAAAATTGAATTTTTGTTAAACTGTAAATAAATTGAATAAGTTTGATTTTAATTCATTAGAAATGCTTTTTGATTACTAAAATTTTATTTAAAAATTTAAAATAGAGTCTTTAAGTTTTACAAAATGTTTACAGAATGCTGCTGGGTGCTCCCTGCACTTTTTACAAGTTGTTATTATTATTATTATTATTATTATTAATAACAGTTCTCAGATTCAAAGATATGTTTAAAATAATTTAAAGAAAGTATTTGTCAAAACCCTTTGTTATTCTTAATTTTGACATTAATTTACAGTTTTACACCAGACATAGTTATAATATATATATATATATATATATATATATATATATATATCAGTTCAAAATATCGGTTATCCGTCTATTTGACCTGTAATAATCGGTATCGGCATCGGCCCTGAAAATCACATATCGGTCGACCCCTAGTTGTGCATGATAAATATGATTGTTATGTTATGAGCACAATTTGTACCTTACCTTACATAAAAGTGAAAGTGTGGTCTAGAGATGCACCGGTCGTCCGGCCATAGACCAATTTCGAGCCTACGTCACGGCGCTAGCTGGAGGCAAAACAAAGGGAAACCTTGAGGCGGCCAATACAAACCAGCACAGATTCGGCTACATAATAAGGAGCTTAAATTATTATTATTATTATTATTATTATTATTATTAAATGTCATCTTGTTGTGTTGTTGGGTGCAAGAATCGATGAAAAATGAATATGCTGTATCTGGAATTTTTATTTCTAGAAAATATTCACATCATTAAAATTGCACCGTAAAGTCACTCTTTACATTGTCGTCTTCTTGGCGCTGGCTAGCCAGAACTGCGGATCGTACACACAAGTCTTGTATGTGACCATTCAGCACATAGTTATAGGCATCTAAAGATTTATATGCCCTCAGTTTCTTTTAACGCTCGGTTTCTCTATCAGGTAACGTTAGGTGTAGAAGTCAGGCCACTCAACAGGAGGTAGCGTTTACGTTAATCCTGTCAGATCATCCATCCATTGAGTGAGCGTGTACAGTACGGGTCAGCCAATCTGGTTCCGTCCGTTAAAATGAACTTTTGCAAATAACAATCGCGGTCCTGGACAGTGAGTGACCTTACACATTAAGATAAAATCTGATTTTCTCCAGTTGTTGTTAAAAAACAAGCTAACAAAACTTGCTAACTAGCGTTAGGGAAGCGGCCAGAGGGATCGTTCTGCCTCCACCTAAGCTCCGCCCACAAAAAACGTCACCATGTTTACTAACTGAAAAGGGGTCTATAAATCGGAACAGGGCGGTTTTTGCTCCAAACACACGATCGGCAACCATTTTTTGTTTTATTTCGTCCAACCTCTATTCCAGACTTGCACGCAAACTGCATTGCAATATTTCCCCAAAATGTCAAGTCTGTGAACAGAATGTTAAAACAGGCCAGACAGAGACAGGACAAGTAGCTCTGGCACACAAAGAAGAGAACAGAGATGCACCAGCAGAGAAAATACTGTACCAGGCGCAGAAACCTCACTCTTCGCGATGCACGAAATATTAGAAGAAAAATATAAATATTGCATTGTGGGTGGGGGTTTATATAAATGTATCTCTGAAGGGAACTGAACTTTCAATGTCATTTTCTTTTCCTCTTACGTTAGTTTTGCACTCCAGGCACAACATCACAACATGCATACAAAATATGTAATAAATATTTAATATAAAGTGAGGAGAAGCAAATTTTCCTAGGTTGGACATCTCTTTTACCCACTGCTGTATTTACTTGGTACACCAGGGTACTTCAGATAATACCATGATATTTCGACAAATGTTAAATTGGCATAATTAGCTCAAAATTCACCATTACAAGGGCAACCTTGATAGAAGAAGAACATTTCTGAAATAAAAGGTATTCTTTGCATGACAAATAAGAAAGCTTCTGGTTGTAGTGTGTCCTTAAAGTTCTTTGTTCCACTGCATTTTGTTTTTATTTTATCTGATCATCACCAATGATTATTAAGTGTAATCTTCCTGAATCGCTAGTTTCTTTAAAGAAACACTTGTACTGGAACAGCTGCAGGAAGTGTAGGCATTGACAAACTATGCAGTGGTTTGTTTGCGCTTATATTGTAGCCAGGATTAAGTCGAAAATTAATTAATTTGGTGTGTCTTGTGGCTCACAGAACAAAATGAAGGAGCTGGAACTTCTGTGTTCACTCAAGGAGGTTCCTCTGGACTGCACAGATCCAGAAAATGCAGTGATGGCTTTGAGGTATGACCTGAAACTAAGTCTGACTCCCTGTAGTGAATCTAAATTGTTCTCAAAGCTGTCGGTTACACCCATTCATCATAGAATCCTGTTCCCACAAAAATATGAAGCAGCACAACTGTTTTTAACATTGATAATAATAAGAAATGTTTCTTGAGCAGCAAATTAGAGTGATTTCTGAAGGATCATGTGACACTAAAGAGTAGATTAACGATGGTGAAAATCACAGGATTAAATTACATTTTAAAATCGAAAAAATGCATTTGTAAATAACAAATTAAACCAACTTGCCAACCCCAAACTTTTGAACAATAGTGTATTTATGAAACTATTGCCTGTGTTTTGTTTTGGACAGAGAGAAGTTTTTCCATGAGGTTAATGCCGTGCAGCAGCAAAGAAGCTCCGTTCCACTGGCTAAAACCAAAGCGCTTGTGAAGAGCTTGATAAACCGCTCTGAACTGCTGCTACATGTTACAATAGCACCACAATGCAAGAGTCTGTCTACAACACCAACATGCTCACCAGGTTATTTGTGCACACATTTACACATGCACACACTCGCATAAGCTTACAAATGCGCTAAACAGCCCTTTTAACTTGTCCTTCTTACAGCCTGTAAGTCGGTATCGGACGCTAAATCGATGGTTCCTATAGTGAAGCAGCCTGTGTTCCTGCGCAGTATGTCCGCTCCCTCAGATTTGGAAATGATTGCCAACAGTGATGTGGAGTTTACACATGGAGCACAAAGGTACCTATGTGACAGCAGAAGCATCAAATAACAGTTATAAAACAGAACTCTGATTTGTAAAATTGCCAATATGTGCACTCCTGTAAGCACATATTAGTTGAATTTTTATATAAATGTTTGAATATTTGGCAACCACAGACAGCCTACATTCAGAATAAAAAACTACATTACAGTTGTTTATTATTAAAGCTAAGGTCATTTATTTATTAATGCCTTTATTTTATTTTTTTATCTGCATGCAATTGTTTATTTATTCATTTATTTCCAAATATTTATTCATGCATTCATTTTTTATTTTAAAATTAGGGATGCACCGAATCCAGATTTGTGGGGTTCGGCCGAATACCGAATCCACTGGTTAAGATTCTGCCGAATCCGAAACCGAATACCGAATCCTACTCTCATCCTCAGTCCATTAACACAGTAAACACATTAATGAAGTAAACAAAGTGGATTTTTCATTTTATTTTATTACTGTAAATAATAAACACTACTTTACTTTTATAACTGTAAAAAAAAAAAAAAAAAAAGAATAAGCAACATTATGCATTTGAACAGCGGCGATATTGTGTAGCCTATTGTTTAGAGTCCTTGACTCCTTGCCACCATTAGACAAATCGGCATTGCAAATTGAACATGTAGCTCCACTTGAATTGCCTTCTTTTGACTGAAAGTACTGCCAAACAACACTTTTTCTGCTCACGAGTTCTATTTTCACTTTCTCACAGCCTAATGCATTCGAACGGTCCACCTACTGTAACGAGTGGAAATAAGGTGTGGCCCCTTTAAGAACTCCGCGCTCCCTGCTGAACTGTCTGCAGTCCGTATTGTATGTGCCGTGCGCCTCGAACACATGCCCATGTATGCGGGGTTTTTTCTGTTTGATGCTCATTTTTATCTTATTTTGTTAAGTAACGCTGTGGTCCTGTGGACGGTAGAACGTGTGACAGACAGTTACACAAGTTCGATTGTGGAATAAAGTGCTAGTTGTGAGATGCCAATCGCCTCCGTGAGTCTGTCTGGCCTCTGCGATAACTTTAGCTGTGAGCTATCCCTATTTTTCTTCCTGACTCAACGCGTTACACTACAGGCTTGTTCGACTTGAACCGGCGCTGCACAGACAGATCAGTTTATGACATCAAAGTACCGCGAGAGCAATTCAAAAGCATAAGGAGCCGTCTGCTCTCTATTCGTTCACGCGGTACTTTGATGTCATTCACTGATCGGTGACTTCGACATAGCGCGCGTAGTGCAAGCCTAGGGTTCGGTTTGGTGGAAAACAATTCTGAGGTTCGGCAGAAACCGAACCCCGTTAAAAAGCCCAATATTCGGCCGAATCCGAATCCTGGATTTGGTGCATCCCTAGTTAAAATACTTTCTCCTATGCCAGCTTAATTTGTCCTTTAAAAGTCATTCAAAATTTGAATTCTCAATTTTTTAAAGCATGGCTCTTTTGTTCAGATGAAGGTGTGTTCATCAAATCAATAATTGGGTGATGTTTTCTTGGTAAAAAAAAAAAAAATGTGTATATATATATTAGGGGTGTAATGGTTCAAATTGCTCGGTTTGTATCACGGTTTTAGGTTCACGGTTTCTTTACGGTTTGGTATGTGCTATGTTCAGGGAAAAAAGGACAACTGTCAAATAAAAATAAAGAAAAAAGGAACAAATTATCTAACTACCAGCAACCGCACAAATAAATACAAGAGAGCAAAGATACAAATAAAATAAACAGTGCTTTTCAGTTTTTTTTAAGTAGGTCTATCATTAGTTTTCAGGTACAGGAATTGAATAAAGTAATACATTGTAAAATAACATTGCATATTTGACTGTATAAATTAAAGATTAATCCTTATTAAAGTTACAAAAGCTATTTGATCAAGAATAGTGAGTGATTTCCATGTCTTTTGTTGTTTGAACATTAAAAACACAGACAGCAGCAGGAATATTAGGCTGCTGTCACTTTAAGACATAATGCACAGATCCAAAATACTGATACGGTTACATCTTTCTCAACTGTACAAGTTCATTTAAGTCATGACAGACTATGTCTGCTAGGATACTCATTAAGACGGGCATGTTGACACAATTTTTTTGTGAATTTCACCATTGAAGCGCTAGACTTGAAAGACGACTCAATATTTGTGCGCTGTCTGAGACGTGTGCGCGCTTTGGATGAGTGCACACACAAACATCTTCTCACAGCACGTGAGAGTTCACTTTTGTGTCTTGCTCTTGAATGTTTAAATTGGCAAGGCTTAAATGAGTTTAGTTTAAACATAGTCAGCAACATGTGCTGTTCAGGTCTTGCTTGCGCTTGTGCGCTATCAACACCTGCATTTAATAAAAAGTTTACAAAGAATGAGCGTTTTCTTCACATTTTGTTCATCAAATTTGAGATGAACTGTGGGTGGAGAACGATACTATTCGACTTTTTTTGCAGAAAACCGTTACACCCCTAATATATGTATATGTGTGTGTGTGTGTGTATATATATATATATATATATATATATATATATATATATATATATATAGTTAAAGTTTATTTTATGGTAAAAGTTTTACAAATTGTAGTAACTAATTGTCTGTCTAGGAGGCGCATCAACCCATCCAATCACCGGAGCAGCTCTTTTACTCTACTACAGTCATTGGTCATTGAAGACAGCAAGGACAAGCCCACGTACAGCGTGCTCCTGGGACAGCTGTTTGCCTTCATAGGAACAACACCTGATCAAACTGTAAGATCAGACACATGCAGCAGGACACTTGTCAAACATCAGCTGTAGCCATTCAGTACTCTCACTTGCAATGTTTCTAAATGGAGTCTCATGCCTGCAGGTGTCCAGCACCAGCTTCCTGTCAGCAGCTCAGACCCGCTGGAGGAGAGGTCGCACGAGGAAGCAGGCTCTGGTTCACATGAGAGAGCTGCTCACCGCTGCTGTTCGGGTGGGAGGGGTCACACATCTGGTCGGCCCAGTTACCATGGTGCTGCAGGGTGGACCAAGGTACATTTTAAACTGGTTTAACCTCAGGTTGCAGCCAAACTACTGTTCAAACTTTGGGGTCAGTAAGAATTTTCTAAGAAATAAGTACTTTAATTCAGCAAGGATGCATTCAATTGTAAATACTGTTTTAAAAGATTTTTAGTTAAATAAATGCTGTTATTTTGAACATCCAAAAAAAACAAAAAGAACATCCTGAAATAATTGCATCACAGTTTCCACAAAAATATTGCAAAAACAATTTTTTGTGAAAAAATACAATTTAAAAGAACTTTTTCTATTGTAATATATTTTAAAATGTAATGTATTCCTGTGATGCAAAGCTGCATTTTCAGCATCATTACTGCAGTCTTCAGTGTCACATGATCCTTCAGAAATCATTCTAATATGCTGATTTGCTGCTCAAGAAACATTTCTTATTATTATCAATGTTGAAAACATTCATATTTTCATATTTTTGTGGAAACTGAGATACACTGCCATTAAACAAATTGGGGTAAGAATGTTTATTAATCACGACTAACAGTAAAGACATTTATATTTTTCAGTTTTAAAAAAATATGTTTTGAACTTTTTATGAATCACAGATTTCTATCATTGATGATAAGAAGAACCATTATTAATAATTGAGCACAATAAAAATGTATTGCAACTGAGCAGCAAATCACCATGTTGGAATGGTTTCTGAAGGATCTTGTGACACTGAAAACTGGAGTAACGATGCTGAAAATTCAGCTTTGCATCACAGAATTGCATTTAAAAAAATAAAAGTTATTTTAAATGGCAATAATATGTCTCAATATTACTGTTTTACTGTATTAATGATCAAATAAATGCAGCCTTGGATTTAATATTGCTAGATGGATTGCATCTCTACCATGAAGCTTAAGTTGTCCATATGAATGTGCGTGTGTGTAGAGTCGAGGAACTGACCTGCGGAGGCATGATGGAGCAGGTCCAGGAGGCCTTTGGAGAGACCATGACATCAGTGGTGTCTCTCTGTGCCCGTTACCCCATAGCCTGTGCCAACAGTATCGGCCTGCTGTGCACCATCCCTTACACCAGGCAAGCATCTTCAGCCTCGTGACATCAAATGTTTTTTGTGGCTTGCAGACCATGTAATTTCACCTAGGTGACCGCAAAGGAAAGGTTGTTTCAGAGGTATATTTTTTTTCTTAGTCACGGTAGTGAAATTTTGAGGGCATAAAAGGTCTATTGTCAGTAGTGTAGTGGTTTGACCAGCTTGAACCTGATACAAAATCTGCGTGTGGAAATCTTTTGCCCTCACCCTAAACTCCCAGTAGTACAAGTTCCTATTAAACTGACTGCATACCAAACAACAGTAAATTACATCAACTTTAAACAATTATGTGCACCAATTAGTCATGCACAGCGACGGTAAGAAAGTGTATTAAAAAAGTAAAATGGTGCAAATTTTGATTTGTTAAATTTAAAAAACTACTGTTACAGTAGCAGTGTTATTTTAGTATTATTTATATAGTATTTACAATATTCATATTTTGAATTAACTTTTATTTTTATATTTTCAGTTTTCAGTTTTATTCCTTTTGTCATTTTTATTAGTTTTTCTTTCCAGTATTTCTATCTAGCTAATTTATTTATTGTTATTTTATTATTTATTTATTTATTTATTTCCGTTTTTGTTTGAATAATTTTAGTACTTCAGCTGAAACTTATTTTATTTCAGTTTGTTGGCAAGGCTACATTTCAAATTTTTCCATCTAATATTTATTTGTGTTTTATTTTATTTCAGCTTTATTCCAATCAACCACAATTATTTTTAACACTGTACAGTAGGAAATATGTCAACACAAGACATAAAATAACTTAGTAACACTTTACAATAAGGTTCCATTAGTTAATGTTAGTTAATGCATTAAATAACAATGAGCAATACATGTGTTACAGTATTTATTAATCTTTGTTAACATTAGTTAATAAAAATACAAGTTCCTTGTTAATTCATGTTAGTTAATATCCATTACATAATATTAACTGATACAATTTTTATTTTATTTTAATAATGTATTAATAAATGTGGAAATTAAGAAGTATCTTTCATTGTAAGTTCATGTTAACTAATATACACTGCCCAACCAAAAAAAAAGTTGCTTTTTGGATTTAAATAGGCAAATACTTAAGAGTCTATGACTGGATCATTATTGCATTGATTATTATGTTTCCAGCATGTTATATGTTTGGTAATAGTTCTTCTAACCCTATCTGATGGAGTGTGTAGCTTTTCATTTCTTAAACAACCATGTAGGAAGACACATCATGGTCATATTCCAGGATTACAATGTCAAGATTCATCAGGCTCAAATTGTGAAAGACTGGTTGGGAGGGAGCATGAAGAATCATTTTCACACATGAATTGGCACCTCTGAGTCCAGAGTTAAATTCAGTGAAAGTGTTATCTAAAATAAGAAACTTTCATCTAAAGTGCCGTCTGATGGTGTCCACAGGAGTGAGGAGCAGTGCCTCGTTCGCAGTGGTTTGGTTCAGCTTATGGACAGGCTGTGTAGCCTGAGCAGTCAGAGGGACTGCAGCTCGAATGAGAAACAAACCAAAAAACAGAAAGTAGCCACGATGGCCTGGGCTGCTTTTCAGGTGCTGGCCAACCGCTGCATTGAGTGGGAAAAAGTCGAAGGTGAGGAACGTTCAAAAAGTACCACTACAAACCTGTTTGATTAAACAGATGCTAACACTGTTGTCTAATAGGAGGCTCCACAGACGCAGTGCATTCTGGACTGGCACGACAGGTGTCTAGCTTATTAACCAATCACCTGGCTCGGGCGACAGACTGCTGCGGTAACCAAGCGGCAGGGAATGATGCCCTGCAGGATGTGCTCAGTTTGCTCAACGATCTGTCCAGGTAATTCCCGGTTTTCTCTCATTTAACTTCACTTATTTGTATATTACCTTTAAGTGTAATATTGCATAATACACTAGTTATTATAATACGTGTGCTTTAATATGACAATTGCTGTTTTAACCGAAAATTTTCAGTAACAGAAACTTTGGAGCATCCCTACCAGTCACTAATTGTGATTTAAGTTTAATTTTCTAAATTGTGGTCCATAGAGGGTTAAGTACACATGAACATGGTAACTGGTATCTGTTCAGTTTGAGTGTGACATAAATAAAAGCTTAGACGAGTCAGATGTCAATTCAGTTTGTAAATATTTTTAAATGATCGAGTCTGCTCATTCATGATTCATACTACACGAGACAAAACGCGTTTCATTTTGTGTAAAGCTAATGAACAAAAAAAAAAGAAAGAAACATTTTTAGTATTTCAAGTCCTTCATTTAAACCGTGCCTTACTTTCAACTAGTTACACATTATGGTGGATATGTAAAAGTGTAAATGGATTTAGTTGATTTGAACTAATTTTAACTGTTGTATGGCCCTTTCTCCTCTTCCAAGGAGCCACATAGGCAAGACCATCCTGAGCCAGCCTGCCTGTGTGTCCAAGCTTCTGTCACTGCTCCTGGACCAGCGGCCCTCGCCCAAACTGGTGCTGATTATCCTTCAGTTATGCCGTGCTGCGCTTCCACTTATGAGCGTGGAGGACTGTGGGAATGTAGCACTTCCTTCCTGGAGCTACTCAACAAATGCACTGGATGCAGAGCAGCAAGACGCCAATGATCCTGCCTTCCGCATCGCATCACTGCTGCTGGCCAAGCTGGCAGACTATGTGGTGCCAGGTATGAGAGAATGTTTTTTTGGCATACATAAAAAATATATATATATATAGGGCTGTCAGTTAAACGCGTTATTAACGGCGTTAACGCAAATCCATTTTAGCGCGATTAATTTTTTTATCGCGAGATTAACGGCGTGCACACCGCGGTCAAAATTCAAAATAGTTCAACTTTTGCCGCTGTGACGATTACCAGCGCGGCCAATAGAAACGTTTTGGCATCCAAAAAGTTTAGAAAACTGGCGTAGCGCCACGCATTCCGCGTCCTGTCTGAAAGCACCGGATCTAGCTAGACCGGAAACACTTGTTGCGAGCCGGCCAAATAGTTGGTTAACGTTACGTTTTGAGTGGATGACGAGCGCGAGACGCCGAAATGGATGCCAATAAGATTCTGAATTGAAAGTTTACTTTTAAAAAGTTGCCAAATGGTTCCATTGACAAGACCAAAGTGATGTGTTTTGTCGTTGTGAACTGAGCTATCATCATCGCAGCACGTCCAGTCTGAAATACCACTTGATGGCCAAGCACACACACACACACACACACACACACACACACACACAGCTGATGCGAATTCTCCGCCCCCTCGTCAATATCAGTACCTCGTCAGGATTTCTTTCACCCTTTTATTGATGGACAGTGTTTCATTGTGTGAGAGATTATTTGCTCCAAGTGAAAATTAGAAAAAATAATGGGACAAAAAGAAATCAAGAGACATTTAGAACAGATAAACTAATGCGATTAATCGCGATTTAAATATTTTAATCGTTTGACAGCACTAATATATATATATATATATATATATATATATATATATATATATATATATTCGGACTGTCAATGTTAATGTATTAACACATGTTAATATTTAACACAATTAATGCAGCATCCGTTTTTTCTGTCATCATTTGGCTAGCGTTACATTATATGATCACGCTCTTCTTCATGCAAATGCTTTTAAACCATTCAAGCGTGACAAGACAAAAGAGAACGCGCTGCCTGTGAATGTCCTAACACAGACACACAAACAGGGCACACAGAAAGAAGCGCTCCAGTATCGTGCGCACAGACAGCGTGCCAGAATCGGGGTCTGTTTCGCGCTTGAATGAACAGTAACACCCAATTATGCCAAAATGTCCATTTTGTCGAGTATCCTCATAAGAGCAGTCTTAAATTAGTTAGTCTTAAATGAACGTGCAGAGTTGTGAGAGAATGAGGTGTGTGTGAGATCCGCGTCTCTGTCAGCAGCTGCAGGTCTTAAAGTGACAGCAGCCAATAATAATGCTGCCTGTCAGTAAAGTTCATCAAAGAACAAAGGGAACAGAGAAAAGTACGCACTGCTCATGACAAAACAACTTTTTGTAGCTTTAATAAGGATTAGTCTATTTAATTTATAATTTATGCAGTGCATTTATGCAGATTGTTTGAAGTTTACTTACATTAAAAGTTATGTTTTTTGAAGCGTAATAAATGTAAAAAAAAAAAATATATATATATATATAAAACTTTCAATTACATTTTAATGTTGAATGGCTATAATTATTGTTTAAAATCAGAGAGGGGGGACATTTTCTTGACGGCTGCAAGGCAAGGCAAGTTTATTTATATAGCACATTTCATACACAATGGTAATTCAAAGTGCTTTACATAGAAGAAATTAAAATAATCAAAACAAATAATAATTAAAACAATCAAAACAAATAATAATTAAAACAGAAATAAAAACTGTAATAAAAACTGTATTAGTATCAGTGATACTGGCCTTCATTCATAAAAAGATGCCATTAAACAAGTATTTAAAATATACAGTCTTTATGTTGTCTCTACATTAATTTGGAGATTAACGGTGAAATTATTACATTATAAAATGTATAAAAAACGTAAGTGTTTTTAATTGAGATTAATCGCCATTAATCACGGAAAAAATGTGATTAATCTATTTTTTTTTAAATTAATTTACAACATATATATATATATATATATATATATTTAGAGCGAGAGATATATTGTAAAATATAATTACGATTTAAAACAACTTGTTTTCTATTTGAATGCATTTTAAAATGTCATTTAGTGCGATGCAAAGCTGCATTTTCAGCATCATTACTCCAGTCTTCGGTGTCACATGATCCTTCAGATTTCATTATAATATAATAAGTAATTATAAAATGATCATTTTTCTAATCCGTTTCTTTCTTTCCTGCTTTATCAGCAAGTTTAATTTTATTTGATCTCCTCGCTTAGGTTGCCAGACTTTGCTCTCCCCAAGCGCTTCTGAGCCTGACACTAGTCTGACACGGGCCTGTCCCAAGAGCAGTGCTAAGACTGATAAAGACGCTAGTGAGGAGGGGGAAGCAGTGGATGGCAAGCTGTCCATTTTCATCCATAAGAGAGAAGACCAGTCATCACATGAGGTGCTTCAGCCTTTACTCAGGTAATAACACTGGGCGGCCGCACTACAAAACACATCATCCTCATTGTATTCTTTGATTCTGAAAAAAAAAAGAAAGAAAAGAAACCCTTTTTATAAAAGTTATGATTGATGTCAGTATTTGCACCTTGCAGCAGCTCAGAGGGTCGTCCTTTCCGTCTCGGCACTGGAGCGAACATGGAGAAGGTGGTGAAGATGGATCGAGATATGACAAAGGTCAGCTCTGGTTTAGTGACCGTTCACTCTTTTGGAGAGCAAAAATCATTCGTGCTGAATGTGTAAAATCTGTTCACCTTTTTGCAGAGTGGCTGCTGTGAGGTGATCACTGAAGAGGCATCCTCTGCTTTGCGGAAAGCCAATAAGTGGGCTCAGTCTGGGCTTATTGTTAGTGTGGGGCCACCAATAGAGAACACTGGCCAGGAGAACTCTGGGGTATCCAATACAGGTGACAAGAAGAAAACTGCCCAGTCTACTGTCTGCCGAGAGAGGAACGCTGAATTGGCTCGGTAAGAAAAATATACTTCGCTACCTTTTGAATGTATATCTGAAAGGGAACTGAGTGTCTTCAGGAAAGTTTTGAAGGAATTTTCTATTCATCCTTCCTGAGTAGGATGCCAAAATAAAGTAGTGTTTACAGGGTTCCAGACTGCGACCAAATTGGTCGCATATGCGACCATTTTTTGAGAATGTGCGAGTTCAAATGTTATGTGGTCGCATTTGTGCGAGTGGACGCTTGAGCAACAGAACGCCGTTGTATCAGCAGCTGCAGTCCGTAACTTATGTTCAAAATGAACGAGTAGGCTACATCATGAATCCATTTTCCAAACCGTGTTTTTGACTTATTCTGAATCCCTACGGTACGCCAATAATAAGTGTTTATATTCGGACTATTTTATCCCGGGGTCGTCTCGGCTGCGGAGTAGCCCAGTGCCTGCGTGACTCGCCATAGACATTAACGGAGAGAAGTTCCGTCTACAATGTTCTTCCGCAAGACACGTGCAGTTTATTTATTGACGAACGTAGACGTCACGCGCATTGCACACTGATGGTGAAACGCGCCAATTACGAATTCACGAATTAAGGCATATAAAAATGATAAAAAATGGTCTCACGAAACACAGAGCCCCCTCCTCCTACGTCTTTTCAGCGGTTATATTTTTCTCTGTTGAGCGATTACTCTCATGATCGCTCGACAGAGGAAAAGGAAATTATTATAAAATGCAGAAGGTAAGGAGTGTGAGATTTCTGCTTTTTGTTACAACTATAAACTTTGATAACGAAAAATCTGTATCAGTTTATTATAATACTCTAATCTTTTAAAATGTAATGCATACATTTGAATGTTTAATGATTTTTAAAAGATAAAAAGATGATAATAGACAGATAGATAGATAGAATATGATTCAAATGTAAATAGATAGATTGTATATAATTCAAATGTAAAATGCTTAAAATTACAGATTAAAATTACTGTGCAAAATCCTGAAATTTGGCAATGATAATTAATATATTACAGGTATTTCTGCTGCAACCCAGAAAGGCTTTGCTAGCCTTGGTCCATTAAAACCACTATTCATCAGCATGCATTGATTAATCCCATGGCATGTAGCAAAAAAAAAAGAAAAAAAAAAGGTGCGACCAAATCATATGCTGGTGCGACCAACTGAGAAAGTTGGTAGCACCAGTGCAACCAGTGGAAAAGTTAGTCTGGAGCCCTGAGTGTTTATAAGGGCAGCTTTGTGTTCAGGGGTTACAGTCATTTTACTGAACATTAATAGACATTTGATGTTGTTTAATAAAACGTTGCTACCTAAACAACACTACCATTCAAAAGTGTGAAATTATGTTGTTGTTTTTAAAAACATTTTGAGAAACAGCTGCACTTATTTGTTCAAAAATAGTTCAGACAGTAATATTGTGAAATTATTACAATTTAAAAGAACTGTTTTCTATTTGAATCTCTTTTTTAAAAGTTTCAAATTCCTGTGTTGCCAAGCTGAATTTTCAGCATCATTACTCCAGTCTTCAGTGTCACATGATCCTTCAGAAATCATTCTAATATGTGGATTTGCTACTGTGGATTTGCTAATAAAAATGTTTTATTATTATCAGTGTTGATTTTGCTGTGTAATACACTACCATCCAAAATTTTGGGGTTAGTAAGATTTAAATAAATAAATGATTGCTTTTATCCAGCAAAGACATATTCAAAATAAATTATATTTTACAATAGAAAACAATTATTTTGCATTATTTTTGAGTCTTTTGGTGAGCAGAAGATACTTCTTTCAAATACAATAAAACAGCTTAATTATTCCAAACATTTTTTTTTGACCATCGCTGTAGTTCTTTTCTAATATCAGAATTTTCCGAAACACAGATCAGATCCAGTGCGGCCCTTCATCAGCGGTCACGTGGCTAACAGCATGGCTGCTGAGGTCATCGCTCTGCTCCACAGTCTTCTGACTGCACCTGAATCCAACACTGCTCAAATATGGACCAGCACAGCAGAAAAGGTGAGCTGCCCTTCTTGATTCTTGCCCTAACCTGCTCTAACAAGGGTACAATCACCACTGGCCTATTCAAATTATACTTGAGTTTCAGTGCTCAATGAAACACACTACAGTGTTGAAATCTTCCATCCTCTCCTCAGGTGTTGTCCAGGGCCTTGATGTACATCCCTCAGTTAGGCAAATATGCTGAGAGTATTCTGGAAAGCGGTAACAGCAGTGGCAGGAAGTTAGCCAAGCTGCAGGCGATTGGCCGACAGGCTGTGGCGGCTCTCTGTGCTCTAGGCGGATTCAAGGAGACCATCAAGATTGGTTCTGAAGTCCAGGTGACCTATTAATCTAACCTGTTAACTGTCACCCCCCCCCCCCCCCCCCCTCCCCCTATTTTGAACACAGACCTGAAAATGCATTATCCAAATTTAAATAGTTGTAATTCATGAATGCTTTCAGATTATTGCTGAAGTGAAAGCATTTTACGTTAAAATGTTATTAAAGTTTACTGTAAAGCAAATTAACTCCACTATATAACTCAACATGTTTTATATCATACCAAGAAGAGGTCGACCGATTGATCGGTTTTGCTGTAATCGGCACCGATAACCGATTGTTTGAACTAACATACATGTTTACATATCATTATAAAGTAATGAATTTGTTGACTAGATTCTGCGTTGGTGTAGCCTGGGAAAACCCAGACAACTTCCGGCAAATTTAGATTTGCTCTGAAAGTTAGTCTGGCAAAGAGCTCATTCAAGTCCATTTCCAATCCGCCGAAATTGCGGCACCAATCAGAAACATTGGGGCGGCCTTTACATGATGACGACAGCGCTGGGATTTTGAAGCAGATTTTGTAGCCTACATTACAAAGATGGATGCCGCCGTCGAACATCACTCATTCGAATCAGCTATCGCGTCTGTTTTAAGCGTTTTGAACGTTTCCTTTTTGTTAAAAACCGAGCAAAGAACAACACTCGGAGATTCTCCGCCGCTCTGCATACGTCATCTCCTTCATCGCTCTGATTGGTTTTAGGTCTATCCGCGACGTCCGTTGGTGACGCCCCTCTGGAAATGATTTGTCTATGACGCTTTGCCAGACCAACTCAGTTACAACTGACTGAGAATGGTCTGGTTTTAACCAGGCTAGCGTTGGTGGAGAACAGCAGTATGTTTGCTGCCGAGGCTGAGAGGACGCTAACATTAGTAGCGGTTAAAGCAATGCGACAAACACACACGCAAGTCCGACCCAAATATTTAATGTCGGGATTTTTACCATCTATTTGAATTAGTTTATATCAAATTATATCGTTTTGCAACAAAGTTGCATATTTAAACACGAGAAAGCAAACTGTATCGTCATGCAGCCGACAGAAACAAACAAATCAGAAATGGATCCGATTTCTGTTCTTTTTTCTTTTCACTGTAATACATGTTATTTTGATAAGATAATCAAGTGTTCTAAAATAGAAGCAAATGTATCAAAGTGAACACAATATACATGTCCAATTTCAATGCTATGCGTAGATATTTAAAGATAGACATCTTTAAAGGGATAGTTCAGTCAAAAATGAAAATTAGCCCATGATTTACTCATACTGAAGCCCATCAAATCGCATCCATCCGTGATAAAAGTGCTCGAAACAGCTCTACGTGGGTTAATAAAGGCCTTCTGAAGTGAAGCGATGCGTTCGTGTAAGAAAAATATCCATATTTAAAACTTTATCGACTAAAATGATTAGCTTCTGGCAGACGGCCGTACGCAAGTCGACTTGCGCCAAAAGAGTAACATTTGACGATGTGTGACGTCAGATGTAGGAGTGGCGTAAGCTTTGAGGGGAGACATTAAAAAAGCGTGCCAAGTGTCATGCTACCTCGAACAGGTACACACACAATTTAGCAGATGAATAATTTCAATGGCTTACGTTGCAAGCTGAAGTATTTGCCTCTGTCCATGTCTGTTCTCTGTGTCAGGTGGTGGGTAAAGGTGTATCGGATAGTGTTGGTGTGGTTATATCCATTAATGAACAAGAGGGCATCGCCACTGTCAAGTTTCCTTCCTGCGATTACCGCCGCACAAGCAAGGCGTCTGATATCCTCACTGTGCCCATATCCCGCCTCTGCACCCCCCGCTCTGAGGTAAGCACCTCTCAAATAACTGTGAAACTGCACAATTGTAATTTTGATGTCATATAGTTAGCTATGCTCTTATTTTTTGCGTTGAACAATGACATTTTTTCAGCTTACAGTATCATTCACAGCCCATTACTATTATCTACCATTCTGTTCAACTGAATGACATAGATGGCCTTTTTTTTTTACTCATTGTTATTTCCTTTTAAACATTTAGCAGACTTTCAAAAGATTTCTTCTCATAATATCATAAATAATATACTTGAAAATAATATACGTAATTGTGAACTGAATGTAATGTTTTTGGACATTGCATGTTAATTACAATTAAGTGTAAATGTTGTGGGTTATCTTAATTGGGACTGGTTGTCTTCTGTCTCTGATCACTTAACTTTTAACACAGTGATCGATCACTGTGTCATTGCTGCTGTGAGAAACATTTTGTTTAGACCAGTGCTTTAGTATAATTTTTTTATATACTACTGTAGCATTTATTAATTTTTATATTTTCATTTAAATTTGAGTTTGTTTTAGTACTTTTGTAATATCTTTTTTATTAGTTTTTTTTAGGTTGCTATTTATTTATTTTTTCATTTTAGTACTTGAATTTTTTTAAGTTCTTCATGTTATATTTATTTATGTTTAATTTTATGTCAGTTAACAAAAACATTTTTAATAGTCACTGTATTTAATGATGTTGATGTGGAACTTATCATCATCTTAGAACTTTTCCACAGTGATTTTAAGCATCTACCGTAGTTAAAAAATATCCCCCAGTTTGTATATATAGAGTAACAACTCAATGTTTACTTACCAAGCAGCTGACAACTGTAAAGCCAGAAAAACAGATGCTTTGAAATACCATGTTGAGATATGATTAAATATGCCTTGCCATGTCTTGGCTTTGCCTCAGGACTTATTAAGCTTGCTCATTTCTGATGTCATGTCTTAATCTTGGAGCTCTTCGTGTTTGTTGTAAGGCTCTGCCGCTGCATAAGCTGTCCATCACAGAGAAGGTTGTTCAAGCAGTGCAGTCCATGTTACTGCCACAGGAGGGCAGTCTGTCCATCCACACGTCCCTCCCTGCGTCTGGAGACGGAGCCAGTCCTGTGATGGCTGTGGTGCGTCTTCTGGCCGAGATCAGAACTAGGTCAGAACCTCAATGCATCTTATATTGTGACATAGCACAGTCAAAACAAGAATGTGGACGAATGTGTCATTGTACAGTAGTGCTATGAACCCATATGGGATATTTATTGTGCGTGTCTTTGACTCTGTCAGAGCGTGTTTGGTGATGGCGCAGCTGCTTGAGGACAGCTCATTTTGTGAAGAGTTTATTCAGCAGTGTCCGGCAGCAGTGGAGGTGCTTAACCTGATAGCTCAGGAGTGCAGTCCTGGTGAGTGCTGGCAACAATAGAGCTACACTTCCTCTACACCCAAAAAGTGTAAATAAAATATATATTTCTATATATTTTATTATGCAAGCTGAACATTTTTTGTCGTGATTAATCGCACCCTTTTTGTGTGATTAATAGTGATTAATCCCACACTTATCATGAAATTAAGCAATCTTGTTTAACATTTACATTTTCTCATCATTGGCTATATCCAGAAAAGTAAACCATCGGATTGAAGGATGATTCTCACAAAACTGTATTTTTTGCAAGTTTTTTTCAAGGAAAATGTAGGTGTCTTTTTAAAAAAGGACACTTGGAGACTCCAAAAGGACACCAAATAACCAAATTATATAAGGAGTCTTTATAATTCATAAATGTATGCACACCAAAGAACCCATGAAAAAAAAACATTACAGATTTATTTTTTCCGAATTCAAAGTATGTGTACAGTGCAACAGCAAAAAGCTTGTTACCGTTTAGACAAGTCAAGTTGCAATACCAACCAGGACCACATGGAGATACCACAAAAAAAATAAAAAATAAACCATCTGCCTTGACCTGACTGTAAATACCTCCTACAGAACACGGATCCATTCAGAATTACTAAATACAGCAACATACACATGACAAATCAAAACATTATCCTGAATGTTTGTGGAAACATACATTTAATGAAATGTGTCTGTGCATAAATGCATTGTGCGATCAGTGCACGAGAGCGCGCACCCACAGTTTGTTTACGCAATATACAGTAGTGGACTCATGCATGCTTTACTGTACCTTGATGGCAATCCTCGTCCATCAAAACTTTTCTAGCGAGGCGCTGGTTTGCTTTATTCAGCCGGGAAACAGTGACAGCCCCTATATATATATATATATATATATATATATATATATACACTCACCTAAAGGATTATTAGAAACACCTGTTCAATTTCTCATTAATGCAATTATCTAATCAACCAATCACATGGCAGTTGCTTCAATGCATTTAGGGGTGTGGTCCTGGTCAAGACAATCTCCTGAACTCCAAACTGAATGTCAGAATGGGAAAGAAAGGTGATTTAAGCACCTTTTTGAGCGTGGCATGGTTGTTGGTGCCAGACGGGCCGGTCTGAGTATTTCACAATCTGCTCAGTTACTGGGATTTTCACGCACAACCATTTCTAGGGTTTACAAAGAATGGTGTGAAAAGGAAAAAACATCCAGTATGCGGCAGTCCTGTGGGCGAAAATGCCTTGTTGATGCTCGAGGTCAGAGGAGAATGGGCCGACTGATTCAAGCTGATAGAAGAGCAACTTTGACTGAAATAACCACTCGTTACAACCGAGGTATGCAGCAAAGCATTTGTGAAGCCACAACACACACAACCTTGAGGCGGATGGGCTACAACAGCAGAAGAGCCCACTGGGTACCACTCATCTCCACTAAAAATAGGAAAAAGAGGGTACAATTTGCAAGAGCTCACCAAAATTGGACAGTTGAAGAATGGAAAAATGTTGCCTGGTCTGATGAGTCTCGATTTCTGTTGAGATATTCAGATGATAGAGTCAGAATTTGGCGTAAACAGAATGAGAACATGGATCCATGATGCCTGGTTACCACTGTGCAGGCTGGTGGTGGTGGTGGTGTAATGGTGTGGGGGATGTTTTCTTGGCACACTTTAGGCCCCTTAGTGCCAATTGGGCATCGTTTAAATGCCACGGCCTTCCTGAGCATTGTTTCTGACCATGTCCATCCCTTTATGGCCACCATGTACCCATCCTCTGATGGCTACTTCCAGCAGGATAATGCACGTCACAAAGCTCGAATCATTTCAAATTGGTTTCTTGAACATGACAATGAGTTCACTGTACTAAAATGGCCCCCACAGTCACCAGATCTCAACCCAATAGAGCATCTTTGGGATGTGGTGGAACGGGAGCTTCGTGCCCTGGATGTGCATCCCACAAATCTCCATCAACTGCAAGATGCTATCCTATCAATATGGGCCAACATTTCTAAAGAATGCTTTCAGCACCTTGTTGAATCAATGCCACGTAGAATTAAGGCAGTTCTGAAGGCGAAAGGGGGTCAAACACAGTATTCCTAATAATCCTTTAGGTGAGTGTATATATATATATATGTATGTATATATATAAATACTTAAAAGCTTGAACCAAAGAACGTGTATGTTTGTGTGTATATTTAAACTAAAATTATTCAAAAATTAAATTAAAGATAAAAATATAAAAATGTATTTAAATTATTAATAAATACTATAATAGTATATAAATGATAATAAAATAACACTGTTCAGTAGGGGTGGGAATATGATATGATATTTTCATGATCGCTTAGGCATGATACATTATTGCGATTTTTAAACTCCCCCTGTTGCCAATGATTGAATCCCTTAAAACTCACCTTTCATCACCAAAATGACATATTTAAATGTTTTTTTTTTCCCGTGAAAAAAAATTCTTCATGCCTTAAAGGGACATTAAGTAAGAATTACTCCCATCTAGCGGTGAAATTTTGTATTTTGCATTCAAACGAATTGTGCTCTCCAGCGCCTCGCGTTTTCAAATGCGTGTTGCATCTACGGTAGCCGTTATGTACCAAAAAGCTATGACAGGATGTCTTCTAATAGCATTCTGCTCCTCCGTTTCTGCTGCTTTCAGTTACGTCACGCTGGCTCTGAACGAAAACGCGTTGTGGAAACGCGTTGGGGTACTTTTTGTCCCTCTCTGCTATTATAGTTTTTCAAGATGGCGGAACTCCATGGAAGCCTCCGTGGACTTACCCATCCCATGTATATAAATATAATAAATTCTTCGTTTACGAGGATAAATCCGATAATTGGCAGAGGTATTTGTACACCATTGGGGACATATTTATGAATAAAAATATTGATTTTAGATTATAAATTACCTAAAAAGTTACGTATAGTCCCTTTAAAATAGCTTGAATTTAATTATACACCCTTGCTTCATTTTACATGCGGATACATGAATATGTAAATTAGCCCCGCCTCCACTCACTCACACCAGCTCAGAGATCCACTCTATCAACTTGACTCAAGTTACTGTAGTAAAAACGCTGCACAATGGTATCGCTCTTTACAACATCGGACACATAACGGTAATTAATATGATTAGCCTTTTGCTTGACTATGTTATCAAACAGCTTATAATGTGTTGCTAATGTTACACAAACCATGTTCCCATTTGGCATCTCAGAGTCAGACAGCTGCCTTCAAAAAATAAACAACCTTTCTAACACCCTAATGAACAAGTCGAAGGTGACAGTATTCAGTTATGAAATGTAATTCTGTGTGTGTTTGTAGGAGAGCGTTTAGTGATGGTAGAGGTGCAGTGTGAGAGGGTTAGGATGCTTTATCGAGACTGTGCTCGTCCTCCACCACCTCCAGTACAAACTGATCAAAGACAGGTGAGTTGAGCCTCATTTTAACATGATCAAGAGAAGCCTTTGGGTTTTTTCTTTTAAAAATTGATTGATTAAAGTGTGATATTATCATTTATCTACTACCATTCTCTCAGCTTCCTGCTTGCATATATGGGCTGCCCTGTAAACACTAAACGATTGGCAGACATAAAGCTCCGCAAAGCCTTCTGATTGGATGAACCGATAATATGACCGTTTTTGATGATTTGTGAATAACTTGCTTAGCAAACACAACACTTTCTCTCTCTCTCCACAGCCTAAAGAAATCACATGGTGTCCGTCACGCGTCTTCCCTCCGGTTCGGGCCTGCATGTTTTCTTCACACTTGACCTCTGTGACCTTTCTGGCAGATCCAAGCGCGGGTGGAGGCCTTCCCAGAGGAACTTTCATCTATGCCACTTCACCTGTGCCTGTTCAGGTAACTACAGTCTGTTACTGGCACATGCACTAAAAAAAAAATACATATATATTAGGGCTGTCAAATGATTAAAATTTTTAATCAAATTAATCCGAATTTTCAGTGGATTAATCATGATTAATCACTATTTTACACCTGTATCACTATTTTCACTATTTTACTATTATATTTTTATTTAATCACTATTTTACACCTGCAATTACACCTGAATCCTAACCATTTTTTTTCTGAAATGCATACCAAAAGATAAATAACAGGACACAGATACATAATTTTGATATTATGTCTGTTTATTAATTAATGGTGGTTTAAATCAAACTGAAACATACTACACACCATAATATTTGTCTTTGTAATGTCCAATCGCTTCCTCTTTGGCATTCCTCTTAACCAGGATGTACAATTTACAGTATTCAATTGAACAGAAAGCAATAAATGTAGTCAAATCATAACAGTGGCCTACCACATTTTTGCACAATTTGAGTCATCTGTTGCGTTTTTATGTGGAAAAAAACATTTTCAATAAAACTTTTAAATCAAACCAAAGAACAATCTTTTACCTTTTCCTCCATTCTTTAATCCAGTTGCTCAAAAATCCAGTTGCTAACTACTATAACATGTTGCACTGAAACTGGTCTTTTTGTTTGAACATCACCTTTCAAATCTACTGAGCTTCATCATTTTTCATCAACTAACTTGTTCACATTTTCTGAAAGTAAAGCTGACCTTTTCTTGTTCACAATGTGACCTGCAACTGAGAAAAGTCGTTCACAGGGAACAGTGGTTGCAGGAGTGGCTAGATATTTGTGAGCTAGTGAGGCCAGCTTCTCATGGGCTCCTGAATGAGATGCCCACCACGTCAAGGGGCAGTCCTCCAATTTAATGGTGGGCTCTGCTCTGTACCTCTGTATGGCAGGTTGGACCTCTTCATCTTCTGATTCTGAATCTGAGCCCATTTGCAGAAGGCTGATTTTCTTCCTGGGTGGCCCATCATCATGTGTCTGTGAAGACTTTCTGGGTGACTTTTTCCTTCAAGTGTGGTCCACACCTCTTCCCTGTCTGTCTTGGGCAGGCATTTCAAGTCTTTGAAACAAGGATCCAAAACTGTAGCAATCTGGAGCCATGCATTGTTGAGCTGTTCTTGACGGGATGCTAGGTCCTCCTTGAACTTGGTCTTGAATCTCACCACATATGCAGGGTCCTCATCACAGGCTTCCATCTTGAGACGCAAGTGGCAGAGAGAAGGTAGTACCACAGAACAGGAGACATAGGCCTCTCCACCCAGGAGCTCAGTTACATACCTACGCACACAAACACACACATGCACACAGAGACAGTGTATTATTAGAACAGTGGTTATCAATATATTATTATTATTATTATAATTATTGTTATTATTATTATCATCGTTATTATTTTTTACATACATGTTATTGATATTTGACTTGGTTTAATTCATTCCAGAAAATAATCAAAGCAATGTTATTTGATAAGTTACAGACTGATTTACCTGCATGGCTCTAGAAGTGTCTCCAGCCTCTGCAGTTTATCCCACTCTGCTGCGATCGGCAAAACGAGTTTGTGCTCCTGATTGTCCAGGGCTGCGATGACAGCCTCTTTATTTCTGCTCACGCGCTTGACCATTTCCAGCGTCGAATTCCAACGTGTCGGAACATCCTGGATCAATGGCTCTTCCTTCTTCCCCAGACTGACTTGTTGTGCTTGAATCTCAGCAGCATTTGCTGGGCTGTGCTTAAAATGACCGACAACTTTGCGAGCCTTGGCCAAAGCATTTACAAAGCCGCTGTCAGCAAGACTCACTGTGACACTTCTCTGCACCATGTGGACACAGTTCATGTGTTCATAGCGTGTAAGTCGAATTGCGGCAACCATGTTGCGTGCACTGTCAGTCCCAATGGTTGTAGTCTTGCCCTCGATGTCCCACTTACGTGCAACAGACAGGAACTGTTCTTTACAAGCCTCCGCAAAATGACGCTCCTCAGTTTTTAATATAGTCAGCGCAAAAGACTTCAGTTCCCACGTGTCACTGATGAAATGTGCAGTTACTCCGAGGTAATTGTTGTTACTCACTGATGTCCAATGGTCTCCTGTCAGGGCGATATGATTCACTTGAGCCAAGACCTCTTTCCTTTTTTCTTTTTCTTTTTCATAGAGCTCGTGGATTTTCGTCATAACTGTGGCTCTTGACGGTGGCTTATAGAATGAGTCTTGAGACGCCACTTGCAAAACATCAAGGAAACCTTTGTCTTCTACAATGCTAATGGGTCTACAATCCTTTGCAATCCATTTTGCTATTGTGTTGGTCAAATTATCTGAGGATGATTTTGTTAATGGCCTGCGAACATTCAGCGTGGTCTGGCGCAAGCCACTTGCTGAACCTGACGGCCCAGCAAACGCATGTTTGGCGTTGACATGGTACCTCAAGCTTGAACAGCTCCGGTGAAATTGAAACTCCTTGTTACAAATCTTGCAAATAACCTTGTACTTGTTAACTGTACCATCATCATTCTTTTTATATTTGAATCCGTCAATAGGCCCACTTTGCTCACCTTGCTCCATCTCGCCGCTAGCTCCCAACCACTTTCCTGACCTGAATAATTTATCACACTGCGCATGCGTGAAATGCGTTAATTTTTTACGTAATTAACAACGAACAACTAATTAACGCCATTAACGCGCTATTTTTGACAGCCCTAATATATATACTTTGATTCCACAAAGACACATTAAATTGATCAAAAGTGACAGTAAAGGCATTGATACTGTTACAAAATATTTCTATTTCTAATAAATGCTGTTTTTTTAACTTTCTATTCATCCTGGGGGGAAAAATGACACTGTTTCCACAAAAATATTAACTGTTTTCAACATTGTTATAGTAAGAAATGTTTCTTGAGCAGCAAATCGGCATATTAGAATGATTTCTGAAAGATCATGTGACACTGAAGACTGGAGTAATGATGCTGAAAATGCAGCTTTGCATCACAGGAATAAATTACATTTTAACATGTATTACAATAGAGAAATATGGAGATATTTTAATTAAATTATACTATTATTTTACTGTTTTTACTGTATTTTTGATTTTTTTTTTAAATGCAGTGTTGGTGAGCATAAATGACTTCTTTCAAAAAATGACTTTCTTCTTTCTTTCTGTATCTTTCTTATTTTCTCTCTCTTTTTTTGGGTTCCAGGCTCCATCTTTTTACTGGGAGATAGAGATTGTTTCTTTTGGAGATTCGGAGGATGATAGCGGTCCTATAGTGTCGTTTGGTTTTTCCCCGGAGGCCGAGAAGAGAGACGGTGCATGGACGAATCCTGTCGGCACCTGTCTATTCCACAAGTACTGTCCCAGTCTTTTTATCCTTTCATTCAATAATCTTTCACTTGAACTGACTATCAACCTGTTCTTTCGGTTCCTCTCTGCTTTCCATTCTAACCCCTTTCTTTTTACATGTCGTCCTTGTTGTTGTTTCTCTCCCGCTCAGTAATGGGAGGGCAGTACACTATAATGGCTCCAGTTTGCTGCAGTGGAAGAGTGTGAGACTAGACGTGGCTCTACTTCCTGGTGAGACAGGACCTTGTTCCAAGCGGCCTTTATTAATTTGAGCATTCAGACATTAACCACAAGCACATTATGTTGTTCAAGCCGACTGCCTTTATGGGCAACAGTGTTGGGGAAGCTACTTTGGAAACTGCTACAACCTCAGTTAATTATTGAACTCAAAAATGAGCCCGTCGGCCACCGTAACTTCTATTGGTTGCAATTCACAACCTCACCTCTAGATGCCGCTAAAATTTACACACTGCACCTTTAAAATATACTTTAACTCCGTTTATACTCTGTTGAAACTTGTAGGAATTGATTGTCATGTATTCATCTGGAATGATGAAGTTGCGATTTTAGTACATTTTAAAATATATGAAGTAAAATATATTAATGTAATATGTTATATGCAAATGACACGTTACATAAAATTACTGTATAATCAAGTACTTCACATGTGCTATAGTATGTTAGTTAACATGTCATAATAAGTGCACTTATTTAAAGCACAACAAAAGATCATTAAAACACAATGGTTTAAAATGTAAAACAAGAATGTATTTGTCAATTTAATTATAATATATGACATTTCACAATCAGTTTTTTTCCCACGAATGTGAGTTGGCCATGCTATTCCCTAACTTCTATAACTAATGCTTTCTTTTTGCTCCTATTGCGCTCCCTAATTACTCTTTATTTCAATTGTATTTTCCCATTACCATTTTGTTTTTCTGAACTTGGGTGATTATTATTGACCCCAGTCGAACTTCAAACTACAGTTTGTGTTTAAAGATCTATGGAAGTAAAATAATGCCAAATGTTTTTGAAACCAAAAAGCCTGTTGAATTACTTGGAAAAAAATAGGCATTGCTTTAACCCTGCTTCCATTTTAATGCATTGTATTTTTTTGGGCTGAAATTCAACATGATTGAATAATTTAAGCAGTGAATATTTCAATTCAAAACATTTCAAACACTTTTCATTATTAAAAATGCAATAATCCATATTCAACTTTCATATTTCACTTCCAAAATATTCAAACTGTTTTAAATTGCAACCTATAATATTCAACAGGCAATTTTCGGTCCTTTTTTTTCTCTTTGCAAATTCGCTTCCACAAATTCAGTGGTTCAAATTCGACAGTAAATTCAACGTTGACATCCAGGAACTGCAGGAAAAGCAGTCGATTACAGAGCATCCCCTTCATCTGCTGTTAGTCGACCTCACCAGCAGGAGGTGCAAACGTGTGTTGTTGAAGACCAGAGCAACAGTTAGAGCAAGCCATTCATTCATAAAAACTCATTTACAGCAAATGAGCATCCATTAAGTTTTTGTGATGATTATCTGTGTCAGTTTATATGCGGAAAAGATGATAAAGACACAAAAGCTGTGTTTGTTTCATTCAATAACTTCATTGTTACTTTCCCTGTGTAGCCTACATATTCAGCTTTCTCTACCATGAACAGGATTATAATCAGTTTCCCCTCAATACCTCATCATACTCGAATAGATTCCCCTTCCATCGGGACAAAACACTTAATGGACTAATACAGTGATATACATTTTAAAGACCAAACTCGCACCTTATTGGGGATGTAGGCTGTAGCTACAGGCAAGCAGACTCAGAATATGAACGTAACGCGCAAAGTTTCATGCTGAGCGTTTCCCAGTGATATACTGGCATAAAATCAACACTTGATCAATTAATACTAACACTTTCTCTTCTATTCTATATATTTATGTAAGTATGCCTACATGTACTGAATTAGATTAAACTGGGAAAGGTCATAGCACTTGCATATTGTTGTCCTATTGTTAGTTTAACTGTAAGTCGCTTTGGATAAAAGCATCTGCTAAATGTAAATGTAAAATTGGCTTGACATTGGACATTCGCACATTTATGGGACATTCGCACATTGGTATACATGTTTCTAACTTCAATAGCAAACTTCAATTTATTTGAATAACTATCAAAAATCTAAAAGGTGTGCATTTCACGAACACTTCACAGTTGGTTTTATGACTAAGTTGTTCTCTTCAAATGATATTGAAGTTAGAAACGCGTGTGTGTACCAATGTCGTATGTAATTTCAGAGACGGTCCCTAAATGTGCGACTGTCTAATGTCAAGCCGACTTTATGCCAGTATATCACTGTGAAACGCTCAGCATGAACTTTGCACGTTAAATTCATATTCTGAGTCCAACTGCTTGCCTGCGAGTTTGGTCTTTTATATCACTCTGTATTAGTAATTTCAAAAGCAGTTCTGTAAAAAAAGTAATTTTATATATATAGCCAATATATATATATATATATTTTATTAGGCCTATTATTATTATTTTTTTGATTCCCTACAACCTAGAGTTTTTAAAAACATGGTTTTAAGTAAAGTGTGATTTGCCAGGGGGACGGGGATTTCCTTCTGGTCTAAACATCCCTGCTTCTGCTGAATTATTTGAATCCCCACACCCCTCCCTCCACAGTAATCAATGCTATAGGCTACTTCACCAATAGACCATATCAAATATAAAATAGAGATATGCAACAGAACAAGCACGTTTAAACAACGATAAACAATAAAATCAAAACCAGCGTTTCAGTTGTCCATAGTTCAAGTGGCCTTAATGCATGCACGGCTTTTCAAAATTTCACAAAGCGTTTTGAGATTATTTTGAATGAAATATTGAAGTTTATAATTAAGTGTTTTGGCAGACCACGCCGAGTGGCCCTATGCATTTTTCTAAAATCGGGTTTTATTCGAACTTTTGCTAACGACAAAAGTTTATCTGTCGTCTCTGTCTCCGGGAACTGCGCGTCACAAAAATGAACCGAAAGCCACTTCAGCTCAGTCACTATAAGAAATCGGCTCTGTCTAATGCCTTTAAATGTCTAAATATTCAGGCTAATAAATGTTATCTGATTATGTAATCCATATGAAAACGAGAGGTACAGAGGATCTACTCAAACATGTAGCCTATGTAAGCGCTTCCCAATGAGAAAATGACAAGGGTGAAAATCTCGCTCTAATGAAATGTAGCAGGCTAAATCGCCCTGAATTAAAATGTAAAAACAGATCAAATAATGTATTTGTCGAAATGTTGCGATATTGTTTCATTTAAGTTCATAATTATTCTATAGGCCTACATGTTATTTAATTTAGCAGCATTACCACGAAGCACCGTGGTTCGATATTTATTTGAATAATAAAAAAAATAATAAAAACTTAATTCACAAATTGCATGCCTGGTTGAAAGGATCCAAAGATCCCTGTAGAATTTAATATTAAGTTGAACATTTTGTTCATGACAACAAATGAACATGCGTTTTTTCAGATTATATTTAGTTTTGCTTGGAAAAAGCTGGCCCAAACCAGTTTTATTTCATCAATTATTGAAATAATGAAATATTTAGTAATAAACTTTTATGACAGAAAATTCACTAGGCTACATGTAACTTAAATCATTTAATTCCTTCATTATCAACACTGTCTAGAATAGCGATTTAAGTGTGAATTACGACTTCTCTTTGTGTTAAATCAGCCTCAGACTCCGATAGCCTGTGGGGGGTTGGGGGACAGTTCAGTGCTGTGCGCGCAGGACAATAGGCCTAGGTGTTAATGTTCCTCTTTCATATGGAGAGCGAGGGAGACTAAATAAACTTGTTAAAAAGAGATTCAGCGCGAGAGAGGCAAAGAAAAACGCATGTTTTAATTTAATTATGTTGCTTTGGACAATTTTCGTTTTGTAGGCCTACTGTTTTAATTGTTTAATGTCATTTATTTGGCAATACAAATTTAAAATGTCGCAAGAATAATATTAGCCTAGTGTTTCTTATTTTGCATCGCAAAAGAAATAAACTCTAAACCCGATGCAACCCTGTTTTAAATAAAAAAAAACACTTTATTTAAACCTTGAAATGTTCGAACTTGGTTTCAAACTTAAGTAATTTTAGTGTTCTTTTACATTACACAATAATTTAGCAGACTAAAGACGAGCTTCTTCATTTTCATTTTCTGATGCAATCGGCTGACAATCTTCCTTCATCAGTTTGTGTCCTTTGTGCAGCGGCTGCGGTTCTACTGGAATGTAGCAAATTTATGTTGTAATGATAATTAAACAAAACTCTTGACTTTAAATAAGTAAACAGTTATAAACAGTTAGCTATTTAAGCATCAAGAAGGTAAAATATAAACGCTGTTGGCCAACATCGGTTAACAACATGTATGCCACATTGAGATTCGATCTCGGGTCGATTGAAGCTCCCTGAAGCTCGTGTTGATGCGTTGATCACTGAGCCACCGTTTGTACGCTGTTAGAGTTAAAGTCTTATGCTTTTGTAAAGCTTCATTGATGTAGCCTAAATGTTTTTATTGCAATGTTTTATGTTTTCATTATTTATTCAATTTCATTTCAGTATTTCAGCCTAATTTCAGTATTGTGGTAATGAATTATTTTAACTACGTTTCACTTGTTGAATTCATCTGCTACCAGCTTTCAATCGCTCTGAATGAGCAGCAGATTACGCATTAGAGAGAATAAACGAACACTTTTCAGAGTCTATGATTGTAGCGCCTCTTAGCGGTAAAAGGTAGCAAATACACCCCACATTTTACCGCCGCGGTGGAACGGCTGATGTGGGCGTTGTCATGGCTTTCCTCTACATTTGCGTTTGAATAGCGCGCGTCCTCCGTGGGCGTGTCAGATTAACGCGTAATGAAGTGTAATGAGCTGGGGAAAAAAATTCTGACAGCACTCTCTTTTCATACAGATTACATAAACTGAGAATATTTGTTTTTTATATAAATTACTTCATTGAAAAGAAGAGAATTCAAGCTTCATAAAGAAAAATCTCTCGTGCCTGTGTGACAAGTATTTGCAGAGTTAGAGTTAATTTTTCGGACGCGTTTCAGAATGGACTGCACTGACAGAGAGAAGGCAAAACTCGCATCATGTTTATTTTTCTTCATTTGACAAAAAGCACAACACTTTGTTTTTATTGTGAGTATACAGAAAAATAATATAC